AGGTTTAACATGTTAGCGGGATCCCAATTCTCCCCCTAACCTGGGACAGTGTTGTAACGATCCAACATAAGAACGAACTATAAAAATCAGTTGAAAAAGGCTTAACTCATCAGATGGATACAAATAGAAATGCATCTAACAAAAGCACAGAGTGAACGTGGCCGGGTACTTGTACATCCCAACAACAAAAAGACACTAAGTACAGATCTGAGAGTACTCGCAGTTACTGACAGCTAGTTCAAAGCCAATAACAACTAATAAAAACATCATGCATCTAAGATTAAATTTAGTTTATTTGTAAGTTTCGGAGATAAGTGTGACGTTTATTTTCACTGAAATAGTATTTGTGTTAAGGGGTCAGATGAAGCCGTAAGAATTATTTATCATAAAATAATAATATAAATATGTAAATCTTACAGTCTTTTTATTGGTTTATATGCATTTAATAAAGCTAACTTAAAATGAGAACTGTGGTGCATGAACTATGGTTAAGATAAAACACAATTATATATACAGAAATCAAACCAAACGAACTGTTCTTATACAATTTCTTACGTCTGTGTCAGACATTCATAACATATTTTCATCGTGTAAAGGATTGGTCTAAAAAACTGTTAATGGCATCACTTTTCTAATACCCCTGTGTTTGAATCATTTCTAACTGGATGTCACATTCCAACGTAAAGAAAGTTTTTTGAGTCCTTGTTGGTCATATAGACCTAGACTTTCAAATATTCGGCTTTGTGAGTTCCTAATGAAGAAAATCCAGAAAAGCGCTTCGGACGCATGAAATCATCCGTAACAAACATATATCATAACGGTCAACCAAAATCAATATGTCGTTACACTGTCGAATAAACGCATCATAGTTACCAGGCTTTAGATTTTGTCTACAAAAGCCTCATCAGTAACGCTCGAATCAAAAAAGTTAGGAGACCTAATGAAATAAGAAGTTTAAGATCATTGAGGATACAAAATTCCGAAAGGTTTTGAAAAATACAGATAAGGTAATATATTCCTGTGGTAGAAAATCCTTAGTATTTTGAAAAAGTTTTATAGGCAGTTAATCTATAATAATGATCATATCAATGATAATGCATATCAACATGGAAATTGGTGACTTCCTGTTTGGAACCTTTGATGCATTAGCTTCTTTGTAACCAGTAAAAAACTCATCAAAGATACCAGACTTTTAATTTGTATATCTGTATTATTGTTGTCTCCTCTTCGACGAATGCATAAATTATGTTGTAGTAGTATTTCTTCTGCTTTTCATCTCATACAATCTTGTCCAGGTCAAACCTTTTTTTTTATCTATCGACACTGGCTTTTGATATTTGGCATGAACGTGTAATACTTGATTTCTAAAAACATGTTCATGTCTGTAATATAATTTTTCGGATCCCTACTCCTAAACCATATAGTATATTATAGTCTAATTTCCATGATTAAACCTTTTTAGGTAACCATAGGTCTTGTTCCTGGGGGGACATGCATTGCCCCTGATATCATTCATTGTCAAAATGTAAATAAAAATAAGGAGATGTGGTATGATTGCCAATGAGACAACTATCAACTTAAATTAAAATGAAGTGGATGTAAGTAATTAAGTAAGAAAAACTATATATTCTTAATTGTCATGATAAGATCTCTATAGCACACAATCTTGTTTTCGGTGGGTTCATTCCTTGTCCCCTAAATCAAGCCGACAGCAGTTTACCGATGTTCCAATCTCGTAAATCGATTAGGAAGAGACAAATCAAGTTAACAAACAAATACTGGGAGGATCACATAAACTGGCAAAGTACCGAGCCGGGTACGTCGACAGGATAAGTGTCTCCTACAAGACAAAATCTTGCAATCGGGAATATGACACGATTTGTAAACTTACCGATCAGACGACTGGACTGACATTAAAGATTTTAGACGGCAAAAACATGTCGCTAGTGAGATGAGACACCAGCACATCATAAAGGTCAACCAATTTGTGAAATTAACCGTAATTTTATGTTGTGTTGACTTAAATCGTTCGTCCTAATAACTTAATTGGAGCAGTTTTTGTGTAAGGAGCACGCCCCTGTTAATGTTAATAGTGTGAGCATGATTGATCGTAACTTTTAACTGAGATATAGAAATGCCTTCCAAAGGGGCAGAATGTGTGTTACTGCTGAGAAATTGGAAGTTGCAATTAGAAAGTTGAAATCATCATGTTTGTCATAGATTCTTGTTTATAGTTGTCCATCTGTAAAATTGAGAATGGAAATGGGGAATGTGTCAAAGAGACAACAACCCAACCAAAGAGCAGAAAACAGCCCAAGGCCATCAATGGGTCTTCAACACAGCGAGAAAATCCCGCACCCGGAGTCGGGCTTGTAAATATCGAGGAAAAGATCAAAATAGGAATCAGACCTTCTATTTTCAACATTATCTTGAATCTCAAGTTTACTAGGATATAAGAGATGTAAACACTCGTTGAAATATAGGTTACTGAATAACAAGACTTCATCAATCTTGGAAATTAATTCAAATAACGTTGACAAATCAGTTTGTGACGGAGAAGTAACAATGGAAGAATGTACTTCAGCTATTAATGCAATGAAATTAAATAAAGCACCAGGGCTAGATGGTCTTACAGTTGAATTTTATCAGATGTTTTGGGAAAAAATAAGATATTTTCTAGTCAAGGTTTTAAACACTGGTAATGAAAAAGGAAGTTTATCACACTCACAACGTACTAGTATTTTGACATTATTGTTCAAAAAGGGGGATTATTTATTGTTGGTTAATTATAGGCCAATTTCTTTACTACATGTAGATTTAAAACTATTGTCTTTTGTTCTAGCACAACGCTTAAAGAAGATACTACCAAAAAATATTAATGAAGATCAAACAGGGTATATTAAAAACAGATTTATTGGTTTTAATTTGAGACAAATTCAAGATATTATTGACTATGCGGACGCATATTCGATTGAAGGGGCAATAGTTTTTGTAGATTTTACTAAAGCTTTTGATTCCTTGGAATGGGATTTTATGTTAATCACTTTGAAACATTTTGGATTTAATGAATCATTTATAAACTGGGTAAAAACATTATATACTGGGTTACAAACTTGTGTTATTAATAATGGATGGATCTCAGAAATATTTCATAACTCAAGAGGAATAAGGCAGGGGTGTCCCTTATCAGCTCTTCTTTTCGTCTTATCCGTGGAGATCATGGCTTTAAGACTTCGAAAAAACAGAGATATCAAAGGGTTCGTAGTTAAACTAGATAATAAAAATCAAAGCATTAAAATTTCTCAATTAGCTGATGATACGACTTTATTTCTCAGTAATAAGAAAGAAATCAAAGCTGCTATGAATGAAATAGAAATCTTTGGATCATTTTCTGGGTTAACTTTGAATAAAAATAAAACAGAGGGTATATGGATAGGAAAACTGAAAAATAGTAAAGATAAGGTAGCCTGGATTAATTGGACAAATAAACCAGTCAAAGCATTAGGAATATATTTTGGTCATAACAGAGAAGAATGTGAAAAATTAAACTGGGAGAATAAAATTGAGAAAATGGATAAATTATTTCATTTAAGGGGGAAAACGTAATTTAACTTTAATCGGGAAAATTCTTATTATAAAAACATTAGTTTTACCACTTTTTACATTTTTGGCAAATGCCTGTACAGTTCCAGAGAAATTTAGAAAAGACGTTAAAAGTAAATGTTATAAATACATCTGGGATGGTAAACCAGATAAGGTTAAAAGAAATACCATGATAAAGTCATACGAAGAAGGGGGGTTACAAATAATCGACATACAAAGTTATTTTATGTCTCTGAAAGCATCTTGGGTAAGTAAACTCATTAGTAATGATATTTCAAACTGGAAGTTGATTCCATTAAAATATCTCAGTGTGGTGGGTATTAATTGGTTGATTTTTAAGATGAATTTTGAAAAGAAGAAAATTCTAGAATATATAAAACACATCCCTGAATTTTATAGAGAAGTATTTAAATGTTGGGTAATATCAGGCGGTGGACAGACAAAAAAACCTACCAACTTCACAGAAATAAGAAAACAGGTAATTTGGGGGAACAAACTGATTAATTTTGAAAATAAAACCATTATTTTTGAAAATTGGATTAAGAGTAACTTGATATTTGTCAATGATATTATAGATGACACTGGTAGTATATCTCAACATTTTATTCTGCAAAAATTAGACTGCAAGAATAATTGGATTGCAGAAATAAATATTTTAAAAAAGCCATCCCAAAAGACTGGCTTCAGATGTTAAAGTCTGAAAATTCTATTAAAAGTATTGTAAATATTCCTAGACAGGAACTGATCTGGAAAGTAAATTACATTGAGGCTTCAAGCTTTTCAACAAATATATTATATAAGTCAATTTGTAAAGATAAAATTGAACCATCAATAGGTGTTAGCAAATGGATGCGTATTTTACAAACTAATGAGAACCTTAGTATTAACCAACTATATGTTTTCATGTTTCATTATTTAGAAGAGAATAAGTTAAAAATATATAGATGGAAACTTTTACAATTCATATTACCAACAAAACACTTATTGTTTAAATGGAAACAGAAGAATGACGGTCTATGTAATGTATGTAACGAAGAAGAAGATTATAACCACTTTTTTATTTCTTGTCGATTTTTAGAAAAATTTTGGAAAAGTATTTATGAGTTAATGATAAAATCAAATTTAAATTTTAGAATATCGTTAAAGCAATTAGTCTTCGGATATAAAATTTTTGACAAAAATTATTTTGGTCTGAATTATTTCCTAACAATTTTAGGTTTTTCTATTTATAAATCATATTATGTATCTAATCAGAAATTGACAAATGTAAATGTTTATCAAATTTTTGTTCAAGAATGCATTAAAAAATATAACGAAAACAGAACAATGAAATTTAATCCATTACTGAAGTCACTAAAAAGAAGTTTAGACGATTGAATAGAATAAAACATAATGCATTAAAATGTTGTAAAATTGTATTTCAAGAAATTTATACATATTATTATAATATATACATATATACCAGCAGCTGATTACTAACCTGGGTAATCAGTGGAATATAACAGGATACATCAAGAAAAGCTTGGTTTCTTGGTGTAACAATGTAACAAGCATATTTGGTGAATAAATATATAATGTCGTTAAAAAAAAAAAAAAAGACATCATCAATATATCTGAAAATGAAATTAAAGAAATTTGCAAGATGATTTTGTCATATTTTCTTGAGAAGGTTCTCTATGAAATATGCTTCATATCAGAACAAAAACAAGAAATCGACCAGGAGTTGTGCACAATTCCATTGGAATACCGATTACCTGCTGAAATATCAATCCACCAAACTCAACAAATATGTTGTCGATACAAAATACGAACATTTTGATGATATACTACCTTTATGAAAAGCTTTAAGAAGATATTGTGGTTATTTTTATCATCAGGGGTTTACCTTTGTCGAACACGGAAATACTTGGCCAGCTGAATTTAAGGAGTTCCTTTGAGTCACGGTTTCACATTGAAAAACTAGTTATCTTTAAGTTCAAAATCTTATGATTTATTACTTATGAGTTACAAAATAAGACTCGTTTTGTCCTCAATGCTCTTCAACTTCGTTCTACCTTTTGCCTTGTTTTACTCGAACGTCATTGATGAGTCATTCATTTGCGTCTGGCGTACAAAATTATAAATAAGTCTGGTATCTTTGATGAGTTTTTCATAAGTTGCATATTTTACAAAGATTATTTTTAGGAATTCCAGTGGGTCTACTTTCACCTCTTCCAATTATTGGTACTCGTTCGAAATGTCCTTGTTGGTTTTCAATTATTCTTAAAATATTCACTGCTTCTGTATAAAACACTTCAACACGAAGTCCATTGCTTAAATAAACCATAACTTCATAAAAATATTCTTTTGTTTCACTAAGATATATAAACGGATTCTGTCTTATGTCAAGTTTAAGAAGTCGTCCTTCACAGAATTTATCAGTTGGTGATCTTTTAGGGGTTAATACGACAGTCACATAATGAACCCGATAATGACAATAAAAATCTGCAAAATATAAATTGAAGTTTGGTGTGAATAATGTACTGGCATCAACATTTAATCTAACTGGTCCATATAATGATTCGGGTAAAGGCTTCATAGTTTGAAAATCTACGGCAGTGCTGAAAAATAATCCATCTATACGTCCGTTTATAACAGAACACGGATCTCCATTATGGTCTTTTTTATAAGGCTTCATTATCCCAGAATGATATTCTCTTATGGAGGCAAAGTACATTTCCGATTTATTTCTATAGAGATAATCAATAGTATGGAATTTCCCTTGTAAAGTTTTAATGAAACTTAACGTCCTGTTGAGAAGACTTTGGTACTCCTGTTTGGTAAAATCTATAAAGAAAACATTGAATCATAGCAATAAGTATATTTTAAAAAGTATTAAGCATATACACACATATATTAAAACAAGAATTGCTTTAAAAGGGCATATCAAAAAAAAAGCATAGCTTTAAAAATTAACTTTTCACTGTTTACTTCATTGGCAATAATAAAAACCACATTACTTTCGTACAAAACAGAACCAATTATAGCTTTAATTTGACAATTCGTAGCAGCATACAGTATATGTTCATGAAGATTTAAAAAGAGAGTAAATGGATTCATGTCATTTATAGTTACTGGTACACTCAAAAATACGAAATTATGTTTTGCAAATGTCATCAATGTTCTTATAATATATTTGTTCTTAAAATTTATATAGATTCTTTTTCAATTCAAATGTTTCCTTTTAGTAATCCATGCTTTATAATCTAAATATTCTATGGCCTATCAGATATTCCAAAAATACCGCTAGTGTACATAAATATCACGTACACAAATTTGATAGCATAACATTACTGTTTTATACCCACCATGAATTACTCCCTACCTGTGTTTTATAAGCAACTGTATCTAATGTCAGAAAGCAAGGAATATTGTTAAAAATTACTTACTTTTGCTAAGATACTGACTTATTCCCTATGATGCACTTTCATTCGTTTAACTATCTATAACGTGACATTTAATCATCTATATAAACGCTTTATTTAATATAAACTTACAGGTTTTAAAATTTAACTTTTCACTGTTTACTTCATTGGCAATAATACGAACCAAATCACTTTCGTACAAAACAGAACCAATTATAGCTTTAATTTGACAATTCGTAGCAGCATGGAGTTCGAAGGGTAACGTAAATTTCAGTCGCTTGCCAGCATGGCAGTACGGATGGATGGACGGTCGGACGGATGGATGGACGGACGGACAGACAGAGGTAAAACAGTATATCCCCCACTTTTTTAAAGCGGGGGTATAATCAGTACACATCCAACGGATTTAGTGTAAAGACGGCATAAACAGTCTGAGTAACGGATGACATTATGCAATGCCAAAATTCATGTTAACAGTATCTACAGCATGTAGAATCATAAATTCTCATAACTGTACATAAATTAGGCCGTTAGTTTTTCTCGTTTGAATTGTTTTACATTTGTCATTTCAGGGCCTTTTATAGCTGACTATGTGGTATGGGCTTTGCTCATTGTTGAAGGCCGTACGGTGACCTATAGTTGTTAATTTCTGTGTCATTTGGTCTCTTGTGAAGAGTTGTCTCATTTGCAATCATACCACATCTTCTTTTTTATATTCAATTAATTTGTTTTTACTATCTTTTCTTAATGTTGTTTTTTATACATGCTTCAAAATTGTCATTATAAATTAAAATCTAAAATACTCTGTGAAATATACTTTTAGATACAGTATATGTTCATGAAGATTTAAAAAGAGAGTAAATGGATTCATGTCATTTATAGTTACTGGTACACTCAAAAATACGAAATTATGTTTTGCAAATGTCATCAATGTTCTTATAATATATTTGTTCTTAAAATTTATATAGATTCTTTTTCAATTCAAATGTTTCCTTTTAGTAATCCATGCTTTATAATCTAAATATTCTATGGCCTATCAGATATTCCAAAAATACCGCTAGTGTACATAAATATCACGTACACAAATTTGATAGCATAACATTACTGTTTTATACCCACCATGAATTACTCCCTACCTGTGTTTTATAAGCAACTGTATCTAATGTCAGAAAGCAAGGAATATTGTTAAAAATTACTTACTTTTGCTAAGATACTGACTTATTCCCTATGATGCACTTTCATTCGTTTAACTATCTATAACGTGACATTTAATCATCTATATAAACGCTTTATTTAATATAAACTTACAGGTTTTAAAATTTAACTTTTCACTGTTTACTTCATTGGCAAAAATACGAACCAAATCACTTTCGTACAAAACAGAACCAATTATAGCTTTAATTTGACAGTTCCTAGCAGCATGGAGTTCGAAGGGTAACGTAAATTTCAGTCGCTTGCCAGTATATATAAAGAAATTCATCTTTTCCCCATGTTGTTTGAAAATCAGAATCCAGGTTTTATCTGACTGGTATTTCTGGTTACTCTTGAAAGTATACCTAGAATTTGGCTTATGGTGTACACCAATTTGGAGGTTATCCTACAACAAGAAAAGTATCACAGTTTAGTTTCATGTCTTTTTTGACAAAAAAGAAGAAATTCACTCTAGAACCTGTTAGTTTCTGCAAGCAGTTTTGTTCAATGGTTGCCTATAGTTTTTACTAGAGACAAATATAATGTCAAACCAATGAAAATCTTTTTTGCAATATTTTCCATTTTTTACTTTTTTTAAACTGAATAAGTGAAGAACTGTTATTAAAACTTTTCAAGTAATTTCATAACGGAAGAAACTTATATATATCTAACGGTATAAAGAAGGAAGAATACACGTATGTTTATATTATAGTATTAGTATAATAGTTATTTTATATTATAGTATTAGTATAATAGTTATTTTATATTATAGTATTAGTATAATAGTTATTTTATATTATAGTATTAGTATAATAGTTATTTTATATTATAGTATTAGTATAATAGTTATTTTATATTATAGTATTAGTATAATAGTTATTTTATATTATAGTATTAGTATAATAGTTATTTTATATTATAGTATTAGTATAATAGTTATTTGATATTATTATTTCGTTTAGGTTAACTTATTTCGGAATTACAAGATCATATGCCGTTTTGTACATTATCAAACTTGTTGGCCGAAAATGTTATTATTTTTCTTTAAAGTGCTTCTGCACTGAATTTCAAAGTATTGTCGATGGATGATGTTATAGGTTTTTGTAAAAGACATTTCATACAATTTCGGCAATATAAACCAAATCAATCGACGAAAAAAATGCACTTATCTTTTTCATTTTTTTTGGGGTAATATTTATATCATTGAAAGAATAGTCCTATAAATAGACGCTCGTTGTATAAATGCTGGTAAAACCGATGAAAATTGTTTTTAAAATCGTTTTTAAGAAACATATGTCACCTCAAATAATTTAATTTCATATTTAGTTTCAAAGGAATTGTGGCTCATACAAACAAGTTCGATAATTTTAATGTACTAGTAGTTAGTCAATACAAAGATTGAAAAAAATCACTTTGTGACTTTGATTCGTGCTTGTTGGTAAGATCTGAATAGCTTAACATGCATTAAACTGCATTGCAACTGTTACAATGATAATGATGGTGGATAGGTGTTTAACCTCCGGTATAAAATATAGCATGCAAATGTAAATGTGAAATGAATATGAACCCTACTTTGTACTAGAACGACAAGCTGTGATAAATTTTAACGAACTTTTTCATAAGATAACAGTCCACAGAAAAATATATGTCAACCTAAACAGACTTATTATATACCGAACAGTTTTTTTTTCTTACTCTTAAAGTCTGCATACTCAGTATAAGTTTTGGATTTTCAAATACTTTGGTCTCGAGCATCACTGAAGAGATATTTATTGTCGAAATGCGTATCTGGTGTGTAAAAATTGATACCATTAATGTTATTACCTTTGAATCACGGTCTATTGGAAGCAATGTATGATCTAGTGCAGACAACCTGATGTTGAGGTTGAGATCTGATGCTAAGTGGCCTTTCATTACTGAAAATAAAGCCGTTATTTGAAAAATAATCCCAGTTTAAGTGTAATTTTTAATTTCTGATCTGTAATGTGTGTACTACCGAATGGATTGACAATTTGTTTGACAGGAGTGATACGACAAAAACTAGTATTTTAGTCTTGGATACATGATTTTTTTTTATTGTTTGTTATTGGCTTTGAACTAGCTATCAGTAATTGCAAGTACTCTCAGATCTTTACTTAGTGTCTTTTTTGTTGTGGGATGTATAGATTCGCTGCCACGGTCCGGTCTGTGTTTTCTTACCAACTTCACCTGCATATGTGATATACATTTCCCAACTCATTCGATATTCAAGAGCGTGCAGTTGGTACTCAGACTTGATAAAAAGTCACCAGTGACTGAGCAAAAAGTTAGTTCAAAGAACGTCTCGTCCTTTTCCTAAAAAAGTTCATCGGGAGATACCAAGGCCTTATTGATAAATATTCCGTATCAACTTCACAAATAATACACGATGGTCTTGAAGTATAGATTATTACTGACGTTGTTTATCATCTTAGTTACGTGTTATAGTGTTCTTTTTAATTGTCCTGGTATATTTTTAACCTTTACTGTTTATTCCATTTTTGGTAATATCCTTTTGGCGTGGCTCGGTATTTATACATCTCGCCATTGTGTTATTGTATTTTTGTCTTTCATTTTTGCTTATGTGCTTTGTGCTTTGTCTATAGAGTTTATACATTCAATTTTGTTTTCTTTGTTGACATAGTTGTTTGTTTGTATAGTGATTAAGATTATAATACAATGTTGACTGCTGTACCCCATTTTTTTTTTGCGTTAGATTTTTTCTGCTTTGAGTTAAGCCCTTTTCAACTGATTTTTACAGTTTGTTCTTATGTTGTACTGTTACTTACACCACTGTCCCAGGATATGGGAGGGTTCGGTACCAGCAAACTAGTTTAACCCCGCCACATCGTATATGTGCCTGTCCCAAGTTAGGAACCTGTAATTGAGTTGTTGTCGTTTTATTTTTGTTTCTCATATTTGTTATACGTTTATTGTTTTGCATAGTTATTGTGATGTTACACCACTATCCCAGGTTAGTGGGAGGGTTGGCGTCTCCAAACTTGTTTAACCCCGCCAAATTATATACGTGCATATCCCTAGTTAGGGGCCTGTCGTTCAGTGGTTGTCGTTGATACATGTTTGTTTTTCATAAATTGTTTTGTTATAAATTTAATAGGTCGTTAGTTTTCTCAATTGAATTGTTTCATATTTTTTCATGTCGGGGACTTAGATAGCCGACTATACGGTATGTATTTTTTCTCATTGTTGAAGGCCGTACGGTTGCCTATAATTGCTTACATCCACTTCATTTGAATGTTGGTGGATAGTTGTCTAATTGGCAACCCTACCACATCTCCTTATTTTTATATAAATATTAATGGATACAAATTGTTTACCACTTACAAGACGTGTAACTTTACAGAACATTTTTCAAATTAGGTCGGGTTGTTGTCTCTTTGACACATTCCCCATTTCCATCCTCAATTTTAGGTAGCACTTTGAAGATTGGTTTGCTTAAACTCAATAGTTAAATTGCTGGTTTTATACAACGCGTATCCTTTATCCAACATCATCAAATAATTACTGTTGTAGGTGTTGTACTTGTTTCTAGTTTGCGCTGAAGGCAAAAAAAACCAAACAAACAAACAACAACATGAACAAAGATCAAATAAATACGAAATAAAAATGGAAAATGGAAAATGGAAAATTCAATATTGATTCATTACCTTGAAAGACTTTCCTTCCATACGACTGATATTCATAAAACTCTCGATCAGATATAATCTTTCGTCGCAGTCCATAAATTTCCAGACAATAACTGCAACCAGACCCAGACAAAAAGTTCATCGGCAACTCATGCTCCTTTGTTGATATGTCAGCAGCTAGTGATATGCCGAAGTGTGGTGCGTGTTCATACACAAGGAACAACATCAAGATATCTACATCTTGGTTCGGAATAATAACTTTGAAGCACATTTGTCCGCAGATGCTATCAATCTGTCCACGGAAAATTACTTGCAATGTGGACATCTTAAGCACATGAACCATGAGTTGCCGATCTGCAACCAGGCCCTGGATACGTCTGCAACTGCCTAAATTCGATAATTTTTCAATTGACTTTTTTCATCATTAACAGTAAAGCTATACTTAAAAGGTAAACATTCATAATTCACTTCCTGTTCGGAATGTTTGTATGTGCAAATAAAGGTTTATTATTTTTCATATTGTACCCCTACTAAGTTTAAAATAAAGCTCTTCGTGTTGCTTCAGATGTAACTTTCACAATAAAAGTTATTTTCCTGGTTCTTTATATTGACTAGGCGATTGGTCAGGTAAATTAAAACACTCATTTATAATCGAAACTTGCCACGTAAATTTGAAAACACATAAAAATATCAAAATTAACAGCTGATATGACTTTGACTGGTTGAAGAAAAAATTAGACAACCTATCTATGGGGGGAAACATCATAGAAATCACTTAAAAGAGATCGTATTAGTTTTGATAATATAAACAAGATAAATTAATACACATGTCCATTCATTCTAAAAATGCAAAACAGAAATCCGATTATTTTTAGAATTTAGATGAGAGGAACAAAATTGAAATACATACCAAGCGGCTTCTTGACACTGTGCTCAAGTAAACGTGATCGTGTCCATTGGTCCTAAAAAGATATAAATGTCGGTTGTATGGTATATCATTGATTTCAGGAAATCGTGTTTACTGATATAACAAATAAACGACGTAGAAATTTTCAGTCAATCCGGAGTTCATTTTTGATAAATACTTACCTGGATGTGGTGTGACACTGTAAATACGAAGGAAAATTCAGCCGTGCTGTGTGCAAGTGCACGTGTACACATCTGTACAGTCACATATATTCATAGAATTTAAACAACCGAAATGAAGCTACTTCTAGTATTGAAAGGAAAATGGTCTATCATTGTTTACAATTTATTGCAGTCAATTATAAAATATAAGATATATTTTTTTCTTCTATCTATTTTACATAAATTAGATTATGGAAGTAATATATTGCTAATATTGTTTACTTAGTATTTGTTTTCTTTTTAATTGAATTTTAGGCATTTCCTGCGCCTTGACAATGAACTGGAAAACCAAGAAACACCAACTTTTGAATAAACGAGTCTAGTACTTAAACTGGATAGCAATGTAAATAAACAAATTTTACTTTTTTTGCTCAAAAATTGTTACTCAATGGTTTTTAAGTATTTCTGAAAGCGAAGGAACAAAATGTATCCCAAATGATTTTATATAGATATGTTGTTGGGTTTTTTTCCTGAAAGTGAGTCCCTATCTTATCTGAAATGTTAAAATCGAGTTTCTGCACCTGTATAGTTTATATTGTCATGGTATTTTTAGTTCGATTCGTCTTATCAGTTTGACTATCCCTTTGGTATCTTCCGTGCTTCTCTTTTATAAGATTCAACCACTGATATATGTGGACTGGAAGGAGAGCTAGTTTGTAAGTCCAACTATTGGAGGACAGAGGTGAATCCCTCAATTGTCCTTGGGTGTGAAATATCCTCTTCCAGGTGATTCCACTCTATTATCGTTTTCGGGTTTAAGGTTACTAGTACTCGTCTTAACTTGACGTTTGTTTCTTAAGGGTGTTAGGTAATCAATCAAGACCTAGGTAATTTTTATTTTATAAGGGTGTGTTTGAACTTATATGATTATTTAGTTGATAGAAGTGTATTGGTTTCTGTTTCATAAAAATCTTTTAAAGTCTCCAGTTTTCTGTCCTTACTTACAGGAATTTCAGATCTTCTTGGAGAATTTTGTGGTCTTAATTGGTGTTGACATTTCTGTGAAGTAAGAAATCATCTGCAAGGATTCGAAAACAAAGACTTTCGGTATTTTACCGCGATTCACCGTTCAAGGATTGAGCCAATTAATAACTGCAGTACCAATCCGTTTCACAATCGTAATAATAAATGCATACACAAATTTCTAAAATTACAGTATGTTTTCTATTACTTATCTTTGATGAGTTTGTACAGCAGTATTTCAATCCGAATCCATGGTTTGATTTTGTCAGTATTTTGTACATTCCTAGGTGTAATAGGATTGCAAGATACCCGGATTAATGAAAATGACCTGTACTTTTCTGCTGTTTTAATACTGGAGCTTTATTAGCACTTTATTAGTCTTCTGGTAGGCCTGATAATGCTATCTATAGATTTTTTTAAAGATATTGGTGAGACAATATGTGAGTGCTTCTCGGCAATTCTTTAGAAGGGTATTTGGAATTCCGTCTGGTCCCTTAGCTAGATATAGATGTACACTATTCAGTAATTTGTTTACGCCTTCCGATGTTATGTTCATTTTTGTAATATTTTATGTCGTTCTTTTTTCATTGTAAATTTGGATCTGACATTGTGAAAACAGATTTGAACTGGTTGTTTAGAATTTCTGTCTTTTCTTTGTTGACGTTCGTTATGCCTCTATTTAATTTGAGCGGTGCTATATCAATATTGTCTTGTTTCTCTGCTTTCATATACTAGTAGGTCCGGACTGGTTGAATGCTATTTTGTCGAATCTTGCATTTATGGTTTATGTAATCCCATTCTGTTTTGCAGAATTGACGCCAGCCTACATTCTGTAAAGTTTCCAGTCTGTTTTCGGCATGTTTGTGTAATATTACTTTCCTTTTGAGCATTCTATGTAGCTGTATGTTCGACCAATGGACTGACCGAGTGTTTCTTGGTCATTTTAGATGGTCAATTTAAGTCCATAGCTTTGTGGTTGTATTCCATTTTTAAAGGTTGTCTCGGTCTATCCATTGGCGTCTCATTTATCTGCATGATTGTACAGATACCTTTGTTATTTTGTAAAATATATGTTAGTTGTAACGTGACAGTGCTCTTCCAAAGATGTATCGTATGTGTAGGTACAGAAGTATGGTTTTATCATAGAGTGATGACGATGTCATTGTCTGAAATTCCAACTTCATTTTCTGTTGATTTGCTATAAGGGACCGGTTGTGAATATAAGATCCAATATGTTTCCCTTACTTCACGGTGTGTTTGTCATGAAGTCGGACATGGCAATGATGGCCGTGTTCAATCTTGAATCCTTTAATACTCGGAAATAGTGACCTTTAGTATTGATTGTTAAAAATTGCACGATTTCATGATATTTTGCGTTTTTTAAAAGTGTCAATAGTCATTCTTTCAATAGGTATGATATATTCTCATATCGGCGCACGCCTACATAGTAGGATGGTGGCAAAAGCGCTATATATATATATACATATATATACACCCGCACTGACTTAAATGTCATACCCACTAAAACGTGCCATTCATTACTTATTCATGCATATGATAACGGTAAACGACTTGCTGCACGTATACGGAGCTGTAGAATACATCGTGCATTACAATCGGTTAAGAGACCGATAGAAAACATATGTGCGTAAAGATCATCATACTTTCATAGATATAAATATTTGGTAAGAAAGTTTGACTCTACCTGTAGATTTCGTATTACAAACGGGATATCACATCCTATGTTTACGGTGGTGCTGTTTTATAAAGCCCGTAAATTTAAAAACGATCCATGTTTACCAACTGATCCTTTGAATAAACATATTCTTAAAGGTTGTCAATTTAATACAGTAGTACAATATCTAAATATTGTTTTTGTCGGTAATAACATTGATTTTGGTTTTAAAAAATTGCAACATAACTGAATATATATTGCTATATATATACAAGTCTAAATTGAAAACAACGTTCAAACCTATGATTGCGTTGGATAAAAACCGCAATTTTTATACGTGTGCATGCAAAACAAATTTCTTGGTAGAGGGGTCTAAATACAGCACAAACAACATTTTCCAAAAGACCAAAATGAGTGAAAAAGTATATTTTAACAAAACGCATTTGACTAGCAGGTCGAACAACTGATGTTCTTAAACCCTGCTGACTGCCATTGGCGATTGCCAAATAAACGGATCACAAGATGTAACAAAATAGATCTTATTATTAATTTATTACCAAACAGAAAACAATAAACTTGCGGAAAAGATGGTATACCGCAAACATGAGGTGCAAAAATTTGTACACCATATCCGGATTTCGACAATTAATGTCTCTTCAGTGATGTTAGGAATCGAAACGGTATTTGGAAGGCCATATAATTTACCTCAATTAAGGATAGACTCTTGAATTTTGAAAGAGTCAAAATAGGATGAACGGATCATAAAAACCCGAAGGCAAATATAATACAAGCCCAAACGAAAAAATATAAACAAGTCTAAATTGAAAACAACGTTCAAACCTATGATTGCGTTGGATAAAAACCGCAATTTTTATACGTGTGCATGCAAAACAAATTTCTTGGTAGAGGGGTCTAAATACAGCACAAACAACATTTTCCAAAAGACCAAAATGAGTGAAAAGGTATATTTTAACAAAACGCATTTGACTAGCAGGTCGAACAACTGATGTTCTTAAACCCTGCTGACTGCCATTGGCGATTGCCAAATAAACGGATCACAAGATGTAAAAATGGATCTTAATTTATTAATTAAATACCAAACAGAAAACAAGAAACTTGCGGAAAAGATGGTATACCGCAAACATGAGGTGCAAAAATTTGTACACCATATCCGGATTTCGACAATTAATGTCTCTTCAGTGATGTTAGGAATCGAAACGGTATTTGGAAGGCCACTAGTATAATTTACCTCAATTTGGGATTGACTCTAAATATATAAGAAGATGTGGTATGATTACCTATGAGACAAATCTCCACAAGATACCAAATGACACAGAAATTAACAACTATAGGTCACCGTACGGCCTTCAACAATGAGCAAAGCCCATACCGCATAGACAGCTATAAAAGGTCACGAAATGACAAATGTAAAACAATTCAAACGAGAAAACTAACGGCTTACTTTATGTACAGTTATGAGAACTTATGATTCTGCATCCTGTAGATACTGTTAATATTGCATAATGTCATCGGTTACTCAGACTGTTTATGCTGTCTTTACACTAAATCCGTTGGGTGTGTACTGATTGATACTTAAGTCTGGGAAAACATGATTAATTTATTAATTGTATTGCTTTTGGGCTAGTACTTTTTTCTGTGTTTTTTGTCTATTATTTTTGTGCTAGTTGTTTTGTGCGCCTCGTAATGATCTTTTGAGTTGAGCAAATTTCAATTGATTTTTACTTTTTGTTCTTATGTTGTGCTGTAACACTTGTCGTCACAGGTAAGAGGAGGGTTGAGTGCTCACAAATTAGTTTAACGCCGCCACATTCCTTAAGTGGGAGCCTGTAGTACAGTGGCTGTCGTTGTTTCAGGTCTGTCTTGATATTAGTGTTTCGTTAATTTCGTTTGTATTTATATACACACGTCTAAACATGTGACAACCATTTTCCATCAGATAACACGTGGTTATACAGGGCTAAGACCAAATATATATATATAATTTGTTTCAAATTTAGCTCAACAATGTTATATCATCAAATTTGCGTTAGTAAATTGTTGTTCTTCCCTCAGTGGGATTCGAACCTTTGCTTCTGTGACATTATGGCAACACTGCCTGCACCGTGTCCAGCACCCTAGACCACTCGACCGTCTAGGCTACATAAAAATATAGCTTTTTGTGGTCGGTGAAATGCCTTTCTTCGTCGGCTTTATGTAGGGTTGTAACACAGTACATGGTGTATAGTGGCAAGTAGATGGTGTACCTTTTAGATCAGCTATTGTGTCTGTCGTAAAGGATGATAATGATAATTATCACGAGTCATGCCGCCACATCATTTTTTTCACAGAAGCAAGGGTTCGAATGGAGAATGTCTGTCACAAAGTTGTCACATGTTTAGACGTGTAGAATAAAATTAAAATTTGATGTGGCGGCATAGTAATTAACATTATCATCATTTATGACAGACAAAATAGGCTGATCTGTTTGTATAAATGTTTGCTCAAGCATTGTAATTAAGATTGACATCTATAATCAATAGATAGGCGGGGCTTCAGCAAACTTAACTGTTGTTGGATGTTATGCTTAAAGGTTAAGTATAATTATAGAAGCCGCGAGTGAAGCCCTGTCTATTGATTGTAGATGTCAATCTTAGGAAATTAGCTCTAAAGCTCTAAATCCATTACTGATGCAATATTTTATTGAACAATAATTATATAAATAGCAATTGTATGCATGTTTTTTTGTTGTAAAGAATAAATGTATGGATAAACGCTGGGGTGAAATGTTCATGTCTTCAGGAAGGGGTCTTGAATTTCTATCTTTTCTATAGGTGGGGACATAAAAAAAAAATAGAAATTTCAATGTTTCCTCCAGTTCCCCCCAACGAAAGAAAATAACCAGTCCCTTAGTCCATTTTACTGTAGTTTAAATTTTGAAAAAATAGGCAAAAATAATTATTTATACGATCTCCCGTCCTCTAGCACCTGCCTCATATCATACAAAATTTCTCATAACGGTTTACAAGGAGTCTTAAATAAAAATCCTTGCTGTATGCAAAGTATATTTTATAAGCAAGACATACATATCTTACGGGCATACTGTATAGCCTTAATCCTTGATTTTTATTTTTATTGTTGTATGTTGTTATTCCGAACTGTAAAGTAACACTTTACTCATATTTTCAATGATCCCATGAGAATTCAATCTCACTAGACCTGTTTCTACGTAACTTCCGGCCACGTTTAGCACTTCCTGTCGGCGACGAGAATAATTTCATTTTGTTGAAGTTTCAAAGGTTTGTTAAACACCTTGTTTAATAAGTATGAAATTATATATTAACGCTCAATTTGTAATTCAAAACTTCCATGTATACTGGACACAAAAGTGAAGGAACATTTTGATTACATTCTCAATATGTTTTCTTCCCAAAAATTTGTAACCTTGATATGATTCAAATTAGCTTTCCTGGTCTGTGTTGATGTCCATTAATTGTAACATAAACCTACAATTACAGTTTTGAATTTGGTTCTAAACCCTGCTTCTTCTTCTTCTTCTTTTCTATATCTTCCTACTGCTATTGAGGAGCACATCATGATCAAAACGGATTTTAAAATCTGGGCTTATATAAAAATTTACACGGACACAATATCCATAGAGAATGTAAGGCTTATGTTACACGGGCGCAATAAAATCCATCTGCCTCTTTTTTGTTATGTTCTTCCAATCAGAAACACAAAGTTAAATTGGTTCTGATTTTAGTAGTAAAGGCTGGGAGCAACTATCATGACTATCAGTTGTGTTATTGACTGTTTATCAATAGCTTTATCATTCCACTGAATTAATCCCATGTATTGAATTAGCAATATTCAGTGTTCTCCCCAGGATTTTTTTAAGGCGCAAAATTCAAGGGTGTGTAACTCTTTTTCTAGAGTGAAAGTTTGTGATATGAAGCAATAAGTCATAAATCATGACATGCAATATGAATTATAATGCTTTGTGTTATGTGTTTAATAATGCAGAGTATTAATGAATTACAAGAATATATATATGAAATAAATTGATTTTAAACACAAAAGTTATTTATATTCAGTCAATTAAAGAAGTCAAAATATAAATATTTATCTCTACTCTCTGCTCCTTCTAGGGATAGTGTTATTTTGTTGGACAGTCTGTTCCTCAACTTTGTCTTTATCCTCTTCAGGGTTAAAAATTAAAAACCCCCACTCACAATAACTTTTGCTTATACCCCCTTTAACATTTCTAAGCCATGAAAGCTCAGTCAGCCACTTGTCATTGAAACCAAAAACATGGTGCTTGCTTTTATCAATTGCTAAAACTTGAGCTTGGTTGGGATTAGGAGAAGCAATGAAATCTGCTTATACTGACAGTGTAGACGGAGGTGTATTCCCGTCATTGGTCTGAAAAAAAATTCTACTTCCATCATCTACCTTTTGCTTATAATTCACCACTTTGTTATTTGCAGAGAACATGTTCATTCAGAATTAATAAAATCGAATATGGTTAAGATATTTGGTATACAACTTTTTAAAACAATTTTTTTATAAATGAATAGCTGACCAGTTTCCGTAGTTTCACATTACGCTTTCGTGCATATTATTTTTAATCCTATCTTTGGCAGATAGATATAAACGAACCTTTACAAATTCGTTAAAGTTAAAACCATTAAAATTATTTACCAGTGACATTATATAGAAGCTGCGGCGATTCTGTACCCGTGTTGATTGCCACATTTTCCGACGCACGGATTCACGATCGGTGTTCAATGGTCATTTTATTTCTAAAAATATGACAGTTTCAGACGAATTTACCTTGCAAGCAACATTTTTTCACTTTCTATTAAAGTAAATCACTCCTCGTTATCTTTAATCAAACTTTATTTTATTTTAATTTTTTCAACTACTAATACTTTCATTCATAGTTTTCATCGTAAATATCTTTTAGCAATGTGTATTCAAATTTATCATGTGTATTCAACACGTTCATTGGTCGTGTTTAAATAGATTCTTCTTCTCGACCAATGAAAAAAATCGTTATATAAATGGTCAAGTGAGCACACACACGATGCGAAAATACAATGTGTTTGCCATCTATTTCTTCAATTTCTGCACTGAAGTTTTAAATTTTTAAAATTTTCTTCAAAAAATATCTATCTTCTTGATGATCATTTATGCTATTACCTGATAACATAGTCCGATAAGGCTGAGATAAGCGCGGCTCAGGTAAAACTAATTGTCAGTTATTGCGTAACACTGACCAACCCATCAGCGGTGATCAGTAACTTGACAATTTTAACCAACATTTATAATGAAAATGTGAAAATTAACACGCTGCGGGATCAAGTATTAAGGGACAGCGGCCAATTAAGACGCTGCGGGATCTACAAAAATATTATGAAGGCGCTGTGGCACCGCAGCGTCATATCGGCCTGGGGAGAACACTGATATTTATTTCAATTATGCTGCTACATTTAAAAAGTTATAATTTTGTTATGGGGCAGAACAAAATATGTACAGAACAACCAGTTGCATTTATAATATAAATGTATTACACCCTGATACATTGTAACAAAGAGATTATGTCTATCTACTCATGTTCCATGTACATTTTTCACTTTATATTGTATTTTACACAATTTATATATTTGGAATAACTTGTTATAAGATACAAACAAATATCAGGATGACGGTAAGAACAAGTAATCGTGTTAATTATGCATGAACAGACTGTCAAACTTTTACGTTTTTTCTCTATTGTTTTATCCAGATTTGTATATTTCACTATTCAATATCAAATAGAAACAAAGTTTCTCATCACAAAGTTTAAGTATTGTAAATGTGTTAAATTTGTCTGTATGATGCATATAAATTAAAGGATTTCACAAAGATGATTCATAATATAAAACATCGTAAAGAGTGTGCAAATTTTTTTTGAAAAGAGAAAAAAAAAAAAAGAAATATACAATGTACTGGTTTCAAATGTGTATACTATGGCATCTGTTCATGCAAAATTATACCTAACACACTAGGTGATTCATTGAGAACTCCGTGCTAGATGGGAGGATACTTAACTTAATTTTGATGATTTATCATGATTTTTTGTCCTAATTGATAAATGATTCTCCTTAACAATGGCTTCAGTTCGAAAAAACGAAAATAATTGTTGCTCGAGATCACAATTCACCAATCACTAACTATATACATGATATACTTGAGAACGTCACAAGAACGATAATTGAATCACCATGTGTGTCAACAGGTATTTCAACTATATGGTTTCAGGTAATTAGATTTTTCAGTTACACAACATAAACATAGAATTATATATACCTGCCTAGGGTAACAGGTAATATATACCACTTGTAGTTACAGTGTGCAATGTAGATTTTTTTTAATCTTTCCCATATATCACTATTGATTACTTTATGGTAATTATGGACATATATATTAATGCCAGTTACATTTTGTAAAAGTACATGAGCATTTAGCCATCATCTTTTCTAAAATAGTATTTCCAATTTATTGGTTGCAGTACTTGTTTAGGATTTTTTGTTGACTTTCAAGCTTTGTCTTACCGCATAAATTTGACATAGTATAATGATGTGGTGTCTGCTAACATAAGCTTAAAGGGTCCAATTTTATGGAAACTGCTATACTCATATATGCCTCCTTTTACATACTGGATTTGATATAATGTTTTTGTTATTTGTACTTATAGTTTTTCAAGGTATTCAGTGCAGCAGTAAATAATTTGAGAAAATGTTCAGTTTTACTGAACAATTTTGAAATTGATTCTAATGAAAAAATGTTTGACAAATAATTTCTGCTTTTTCTTTCTTAAATAATTTTGTAACGAAGATAATTTTTATAGACGTGTAAATTAAAGTTAGGCAGTGAGCGGGTTTTCTGGACAGTTTTCAGTTGTTAACCATGCAGAACTAGAACAGTTTGTAATCAAAGAGTAAATTTCCATGGAATTAGTTTTAAAATCCAGGATATTCATTTAAAAAGTGTATAGGACAAGAATTTCAGAGGAAAGGTTAATGTAGTACATTTGTAGCTATAGGGAGATTACATATATATACATGTACAATGAATATCACTATGAATTGTGTACTTTAAAGTTTATGAAAACCAACTGCATGTAGCTTTTTCAGCTTATTTTATGGAATTCAGTGCCATTGATATGATTAATCCAGCCCACTGATTACTTTTTTGTAGTATTAACACTTACCATTTAGAAACATACCAGATAAGTGTCATTTCAATCCATGAGTCTGTATTCAATCCATTGTAGGTCTGCAGGACAAATGCAAATTAAAGGACCCATAAACTATGTTTGTCAACTAAAAATATAATTGCTTCTTTTTTTTTTACCATTCCAGATTTAAAACAAATCATTTAGCTAGTCTATAAAAATATGGTTCAATTATTGTATAAAACAGTTGGTCTCCTGTCTTCATCTTTACTGCTTCCTATATATATACCTAAAAGAAGTTCGGAGATATTTTTTGAAAACACTGATAATACATGTAAATGGGGAAAAAAGCTCATTGTATAAACTGCTTGGTGAACTGTTAACAAAAGAGAGAACTCTATCATTATTGAATGTTAAAGATACTCATATTATGCTTATTTGACTTATATTTCAGAATAAAAAGATGTCTACTTTGGCTGAGCAGCCATGTTATACTCTAATAAATATACCATCAGATGCAGAGCCTCCAACAGAGATGTCACTGAAACAAGATCTAGGTATGACATTATTTATTGATATAAGACACCATTGAAATGCAATGCACAGGTTTTACTTTGTCCTTGAGAGGTGTCATTGAACTGCATTCCAAATTCAATCTAGAATTTCAATTTTGTAATGTAATGATTTTTGAAGTAAGCATGGTAAGCTAAACAAATATGAACATTCATCTGTAGGCATCAGCACTTATTGTTAATTCTACATTCTACATGAAACAAGATTAAACAACAAGAAATGGTTGGCCAGCATTATTAATTAAGACTGAATACATGTAAATGTATTTATGCTGTAATTATGTGCAGTCTATCTTAAATGACACACATTAACAGGGTTCTCGTTAAGATGCGTATATGCGTCCTAGACGCATGAAAATTGAGCTGGACGCGTCATTTTTGAAACCTGTGAGTTCCTGGGACGTGTCCTCGTTGTAACCCCCGAGTCCCAAACACATTGTTTTGCCTAGAAGATTCATGATCGTCGACTTTGTTTTGACAGGAAACTAAACCGGAAGTCGATGTTGAAAAATTATGTAATGCGTAGATAAATATTTTTGTTGACTGATAGCTTTTTTTTTAAATTAAACGTATTTCATCCTAAATATGATAATTCTGTTCAATTGATTAATAAATATGTAACAGTTGCCGATTTCTAAAAATTTTACGAGTATTTGAAAAGCTTTAATATTTCCATGTGTTGAACATCACGTACTTCGATGGAAATAAGAAAGTTAAATTTTTTGAGAACTTGAAATGAAATGATAAAATATTTCATAACTGTTGCTACTATATATAGATTAGACCGTAGAACAGTGTAGATTAAAAATTTTAAGGATAAGAATAATTTTACTGGTCTTCAAATGATTTAACATTTTTCTCGTATTGTGCATGTTGAACATCGTGATAGTAAACAAAGGTGAAAAATGTTTTGAAATATGAAACAAAACCGATTAAAAAATGACTTACAGTTACAGTGTTCACTTTAGATTTGCTTGTTATTATTAAAGATTATAATAATTATCATGATGCGAACATCAAAGTTATTATTAACTCAATTATTAAATATAAATAAAATTGATTAATGATGATTAATATGAACTGTGACAAGTCTGTGGTCATGCAAACCCATTTTTTTTTATAAATACTGGCTTGTCCAACAAAATGACATCAGTATCACAATGTCAGAGCCAGTCAAAGTTAAAGTCCTTCTTCAAAAGGAAACCTGATGTCATTGAATCATCTGAACCAAGTAAAAGACCAAGAGTCAATGACCCACTACACCAAGAATTGATAGACATAGAAAGATCTTCAGAAACAACAACTTCTGTAATTCAGTCACTACACCAACTAAACAAAAAAGGAGAGGAAATAGCAGTCTATATATGTTGTAATGAACAATAACTATTAAGAGATCATAACTTTTATTGATATAATAAAAACTACCAATCCAACACACATCGTTTTAGTTTTATTTCATCATATTTCATCATATTACGACACAATAAATTACAAGCATCCTGGACTCATCAAAATCTATTGTGACTCACCATTTCTAAAAGTGATGAGTCCCAGGAAAAATTCCTAGTGAGAATCCTGCATTAAACTAAATGAGGACGTAAAAACTTTTAACAAAAGATGTATTTTAGTGATTCACATTCAGAAAACTTTGATATTAAGGCTGTTGCTTTGATTTCATTCTATAATTGAATTTTGATGTCTGGCTTATCATTTCCTGATTATTATGACCTCTTGACATTGAGGTCTTGATAAAAGACCAATCATTCATGTTTTAGTTTTACATTGATGATCACTATGAAGTTTGTATGCAGTTGCAATTAAAGGCATTAAAAGAAACTATTTTAAAAATTGTAGAATTTCAGCATTCAAAAGTGGTAGTATAATATTAAATGATATTTCTCTTTTGTCTTTTTTTTAAATCAGTTTATTTGTTTTAGAAAAGGGTGACAACAAAACAAAGATTGAAGCTCTGAAGAAGACGATACAGATGATACTTAATGGAGAGAAGATGCCATCATTATTGATGACTATTATAAGATTTGTCATGCCTGTGCGAGACCATACCATCAAGAAAATGCTGTTGATTTTCTGGGAAATTGTTCCAAAATATAACCCTGATGGCAAAATGTTACACGAGTTCATACTTGTTTGTGATGCATACAGAAAGGTAAAAGAAATCTGTTTTTTTTTTCTAGGGCTTCAAGTGTTCTTCCCAATATTTTTAAACAGCACTATGGGATTTGAAATATCACTTTTTCCTTAAAAGTGTAGCACCACAGTTATCTTCCATTCTATTATAAAGTCTATTCAGATAGTTCCATGGTACTAAGGTGCTATATGGCCATGGAGAGATTATTTGCATCTATATTGATAGGAAATGTAGATTTGAAAATGAATTGCATTTAATTTTACATTTCCTGAGTCCATAATAAAATAATCTAAATGTGTATTAAATATTTAACAACATCATTATTTCTTTCTACAAGGATGCAAGTAAGCCCTCCATGTAAATCACTATATTCACTGAATAATGTACATATCTGAAAAAGGTACAATTAAACATGCATGTTTTGGGAATTTTTCATCCTTCAAAATAAATGTATTGGTTTATACCTATGGAACGATATATCAAATATGATCCAAATTGCTTCTTTTTCAGGATCTTCAACATCCAAATGAATTTATAAGAGGATCAACATTAAGATTTTTATGTAAACTGAAGGAAGCAGAATTATTGGAACCCCTGATGCCAGCTATCAGACAGTGTTTAGAACACAGACACTCTTATGTCAGAAGAAATGCTGTTTTAGCTATTTATACTATCTATAGGTTTGTACATTCTAAATTGAAAGTGTCTAAAATTGTGTGGAAAAGCTAATTAAAATAATTCTGTTCAGACTATTTTGATTTCCAATTACAAGTTAAAAAGGCATATTTGAAGTTTAATGGGTTCATCTTACCAATATATTATTTTCTATCTGATATAATTTAGACTTGAACATGGTTTGTCTTTTTTATTTTTGATATAGTTATATTTTGTGTGAATGTATTCATGATATTTTGTACCTTCTATGATTTTCTCTGAACAAGTCTTTCGGATAGTCATTTTATTATAGGTGTTGTCTTCACTTTGATCATGACCGTGAGAAATATAGAAAACCATATATGAAATTTTTGTTTGTGTGTCTTAATCAAAGCAGATAGGAATCACTATCTTTTGTGGTCCACATCATCATCTTACAGTCTTCTCTGCTACACATTTTATACTTTTTATCAGAAACTAATTAAATGTCAACATAAAGTTCAGAAGAATGAGTTTTATTGATAAATTCTATTTTGTTAGTGGGGCCTCTGTCACTGGATGGTCTATGGAGTTCATCCCTCTCCTGACAACACTGAGGTTGTGATTTCAAACCCTTTGCGTTGGACCCTAATCTTAATTGATTTGGATTGTCTGTTTTCCTGACAAAGGTCAGTGGTTCTCTTCAGGTACTCTGGCTTTCTCCGCCAATAAAAACTGACCGCCACATAACAGCCAATAGTACTGAAAGTGGTGATTAACTCCCAAAATCAATCATTCCATCATTTGATTTCTTGACATTATCAGAATTTCTTGTAACTTAACATGGGATTGAGCTTGATACATTGCATGTAACATATGCATACAGGTGTGTCTTATCCACACCTCTGCTGTGACTAATGAAACCTGGATATACGTGTAGTACATACATTGTAGCACCATTCATTTGCATTTACCATGGTCCATAGCTACATTGTAGTTAGGAACATTTGCTTGGTGTATGAGTGCTTCAGGACTGACATAATTTATAACATAACTTTCTAGTATTTAAGAAACTAAGGTTCCAACTCCCTCAGGTAAAGATGGATTTTGCTTTTCTTTTATGTTCCTTTTGATCACATAGAACCTCATGTGTTCAAATAATTAGCAATATTAGGTTTGAGCATTCCTGATGAAGGTTAGTCCAGAAAAGTATTAGGATGAACCAAATTTATAAGGAGTTATTTTGATATAATATGAGATATACAAGTCTGATTTGTAACTCTGCTTAAACCTCTTAAATCACATGGAAGTGTACCTGCAGTACATGTAGGTTACACATCAACTTCTAAATACTGTTTGAAGACAGTACAGCCTCAAATTTTCAACTTTTATTTAGAATTATGCTACTGACATAAATGATATTAAAGAAAAACAATTTAACATTCAGACTAGCACTACACAAACTGATAAAATATAACTTATATTGCATGACATCAGACAAACCATATAAAAATACGTAATAAAAATACAAAAAAAAATCAAAAAAGACAAAAAAAAAGGTTTTAAAATGTAAATGAATTTTATTAGATTCATCATTATCTGTCGTGTCAAAATGAATCATAATATAAATTATTGCACTTACATGCTGTTTTACATGAAGATTGGTATAATAGTAGAATAGGCAAGTTACTGACAAAATAAGTTTGCATTTAACTTCATCATGATAAATAATGCTCTATATATAATAAAAAAAAACAAATGTAAGTCGTAAAATCATATTGTTAAACATTTTTTTATAAATGGAAATACATTGTATACCCATATTACTCAATTCATTTTTATAAAACAAAATAGACCTGTATTCATAATGGACTAAAACACAAGCATTATCAACTTTAAAAAACATTGTAAAATAGAACTACTTGTAGAAGTACGACATTGGTTCAGTAGTATATATATAATCTGTCACACTCTTTTAACGCATAGAATTTCATAAAAAGATTGATGAAAAAGCACCTAAACTGTTTCTGATAATTATACAAATTAAAACTAGTTCCTTGTTAAAAATATTTATAAAATCAAATAATAATAAGAAAGAAAGCCCAAAACTTGAAATAAACAAACTGTATTAAAAGCTTTGATCAATAATGTTGAATTAAAAAATATCAATTTTTGTCATTGTAAAACATTTTTGCAGCAAAATAAATAATTTACAACAAACTTAGCACTAAACTACACAGCCATTAAATGTTACGTTTTAAATAACAAACAATATCATACCTCCAAATTACATATTTTGCATCCTGCTTTCTTAGCTATGCCCTCAGGACAACTGGTACCCTTACCCCTGACTGGTACATCTTCAAATAAGAACCCTCCTTGCTGGTACTTGATAGAATGAAGATCTATGGATTCAGTATAAAACAGTTCAACATGAATATTTGTTGTGACATACACACTCCACTCACCATGCTCCAGAACAAGCTTGATGAATGGGTTGTCATATTTATTGACCATAAGTAGTCGACTCCTACAGAATTTATCAGCACTTGAGTTTGGTTCTGTGATTACTAGGGTGACATAATGAATGTAAAAGTTGCAGTAGAAATCAGCAAAGTAGACATTAGATCTAATGTGTAGCATATTTGGTGCAAAAACAAACATTCTCCGTGTGCCAAATATTGATGTGGGAGGTGGTTTCAATGTTTTGGGTTCTAAAAGTGCACTGAAGAACAATCCTTCCAAATTTTTGTTGATGACAGAATACCTGTCCCCATTGTTGTCCTTCATATATTTCCGCATAATGCCATCATTTTTCCAGAATATTTCCTCGAAGTATTCTCTTGGTTTGTTTCTGTAGAAAAATCTGATCGGAGCAAATTTGTTGTGTGTTTTCCTAACAAATTTTGTTCCCATATTGTAGAGCTTTTGCAGTTCTGTCTTTGTCATGTCTGAAATTAAGGGATAAAATGAATGATCCAGTAAAATTGCCATAAATAAATAAATAAAGGTTTGATTTCGTTTCTTTTTTATAAATTTTGTATCACATTTCTGTATCAGTAAGCAATTACTTCTGATTTTAAAAAATATTATCTTTTAACAAAAATAGTAAGTGTAATTGTCGAGAAAATATTGAAACTAGTTTTCTGAAAAGGTAAACCTAAATTTAGATTTCATTTTTGTCATACTTAAACAGTCCAGAAAAATACACATCATCTTTCCTGCTCAAAGCATAACTAATAAAGAGCTGCGCCATGAGAGCTTTTTCAACGAATAAAGTTCCATAACTCCTCAATGTCATAAAAAGCTAAAGTGAGTATAGATATAAACCAGTCACCAGAGTTTCATGAAAACTGGTCAAAGCATTTTTTAGTTATTGTCCGAAAACTGGGAAATCCCCCCTTTTTTTATAAATCCCATAACTAGCTATAGGAAACGTAAAATGTAAAATTTATAAAAATCGAAAGCTCACATCAATAGATATTAACAATTCACCAAAGTTTCATGAAAATTAGTTAAAGCGTTTTTGAGTTATTGTCTGACATGTTGACGACGGACGGACAGACAAAGGTATACCATAATACGTCGCGTAAAAAGGCATATAAAAACCAAAGTTTCAAAGATCATGCAATATGTGTTTGTTGGTCAGGTGAATGATTACAAAGAAATAAATACATAATCTCAAGTGTAATAAAATTATATGCTTACATGCAGTAAAAGTATGTATCTTTGATGTTCTGAACAGCTGGTAATTCTTTGAAAATGCCAGTCCAGAAACTGATTTACATCTAAAACTGAGTACATGATCCTGAGGGCTGGATGTAGACCCATAGTATGTCATACATCTGTACTGAGAACAGGGCTTTAGCAGGAATGGGATACTTTTAAACCTCCAGATATTTTCTGTGAAGAAGAAATAAACTTCTTCCGACTCCTTGTCTTGCAGGATGATGAATTTAGAAGTTTGCTTTCTATTTGATGGTTCTGTCTTTATCCAGTATTTGGAACCAAATCTATGTTTCACAGCTATCTCTGCTCCTTTCTTAAATACAAAAAAAGATATAAATGAACATTAGGAAAGACCAAAATTGTAAACCGGAAAGAATATCCCATTTTTGTATTGAAATCACCTTTATGGATAGATGTTCTTGAGAGTTTAATTTGTCAGGAAAAGTTAGGACAGTCAAAAATGCAGTATTAAGTTTATCATGGAATAAATATCTATAAAAAATTACTTTAATAAGAATTTTCTTTTTAAAAGATATATGTTTTTGCATTTTTGATTTTGTTTAACATTGTTTAAGCATATAATTGCAAAAGCTTTAGTATATTCCTATAACAGGTATAAAGCAGAAAACATATCTTTGAATTTTACTTATTTATGAATTTAAGTTCAGGTCTATTTTTTAGTCCTGAAAAATTATCATTTGATATTTTAAAATGTTTGATGTCGATAATGACAAATAAACTTACATTATCTGCCAAGTCAAACAACTTGGAACCACAAAGGGATCCTTTACTCTCTGTGAGATTTAGTTCCATACATGACATTTCTGAAAACATAAAAATGTACGATAAAATACAAAGTTTTTTGATTTATTTATTGAAAGGGTTGTTTTAATTAAAAAAAAAGTTTGCTTCTTTTTTTTTTTCAAATTGTTTTTGAATTATTCAAAATGAAAAGTTAGCCTGTCAACACTGAGGTTTCTAGTTCAAACCCCACTGAAAGGTGTCTTTCACTCTGATCTTAATTGCCTATGATTGCCAAAGGCAAAGGCTTGTGGTTCTCCTGGTACTTTGGCTTCCATAAAAAAAAACCTGGCTGCCATGATATAGCCAAGTCTGCTGCAAATGACTTTAAACCCAACAATCAATCTAAATGAAAAGTCATCTGAATATAGAATTCCTCTTTATCTTGTATTTGCTTCAATTTAATCGAACCTTCATCATTCATCCACAAAATGTAGGTAAAGATGATTCAATGTTTGCCTACAAACACTGACACAAACTAATTATTCCCTCATGACCTGCAGTTGCTAAGATATGCACTTTAAACCAAAAGTAGAGTTATTCATACATGAAAATAGCTTGAGTTGGCCCCGTTTTGTTAAGGACCTGTCTTACTATCCAAGATGTGTGCATTAACAAAATAGTATTCCTATATTATATTTTGTAGCATTTGACTTGTAGTTTCTTTGATTACAAAGTAAATACCTTCTTTTATCTCGGTATATCCCTCAGTTCTTACTACATAGTACTTCTGACTTCCCTTGGTTACAGTCTGCAGACCCATCAACATCAAGGTCAAAGGTAAAGTACCTTGGTCAGTGTTCAGGTCTAGATATAGGTTTTTGTTGTTTGGATCAAGTTCAAGGACTTTAATGCAGGTTTTGTCTTTAGAGGTTACCATGATAAATAAAGAATCAACATTTTCTGGACATTGCAGTTCCCATTTAGAGAAGTCTGTGTTTTCAAGTTCTTCTACTCGGTCCTGTAAAAGATGTATAGATGTATTAACAAAATTATTCTTTAAGCTAATACAATTGTGGTATTGATTGAATATTATTGTACTAGAAATGTTCTTATACTGTACATTGGAAGTGATCCATTGGAATAGGTTCATTTATTGACTATTCTGTTTCAAAATTTTTGAGGGGGAAGGATGGAGGTCAAGGGATCTAGGTGGATAACTTTATTGATATGAATGCTTAATGGAAAATGGTTTCTAAAATGGATAAATAAAAGTGAGCTCTTGAACTACCAGTAGTTAAATATATATACATTGAAGAATACCACCATACTTTTTAACCAGATACATGTGGTTATAACAGAGGTTATCTTTAATTGTTGGGACCTTTCAACTCAGTATAAGAATAATAGTTCTTCATTTAAACATGGTGGTCAAGCTTGTCTGTAGATAGAGACACATTATTTAAAGAGGGAGCATGGTATCATTTGCAGTCATTTGTAAAAAAATAAAAGACATTAAAAAGAATCCTTATATTTTAAATCTCATCGATTTGAAGAATTTTTCTTACTACTTGATTTTTATTATTTCTTTTAGGAACTTTGACTTCTTGATCCCTGATGCACCAGAATTAATTGCCAAGTTTTTAGAAGGAGAACAAGACATGTCATGTAAGAGGAATGCATTTATGATGCTTATTCATGCTGACCAGGTAAGATCATCATTTCAATACTGTGGAACTTCTTTTTCTCATATATTGGATCAGTCAATTGTATATTATACACTCGAAATTCAAATATTTCACCTACATTGCATTAGCCTTACGCTCAAATGTTTATATTATAATTAAATATAGCTGATAGGGCTATTGGTCAGATTTCTATCCAGAGAAAATGTTGTCAACCAAAGCAAAGCCAAGTTTGTCAATGTTTTTTGCAAGGGGTAGCAATCTGCTTTATCACTCTCACAGCTATGTGTTATTTAATTAATTATACTGAATGTTCTTTTGTTACTGTCTCTTAAATAATAATTGATTTCAAATTTAATAGAATCATAAAATTGTTGGTTGAGCCATGTGTTTAGAGTAAAATTTAAATCTCATATTAACCAATCAAAACTGGCATTTTGATATTTATAATATTTATAATAAAATAGTTTTACCTTTTGACCTTGCAAAATGTAAGCTGTGTAGACTTGATTCCTATTTGATTTTGGTACTTAGTTGCTTATTGATGGTTCACAGATTTAAAAGTTAACCTTTTTTGTGTGTTAGAATTATACCCTTGAACATTAACATGATTAAATGAAGACTACATGGTATACTTGTGCTAAAATAAATGAATTCTTAGACGTGTAATTTTTTTTTCTAGGACCGAGCTTTGAACTACCTGAGTAGCTGTATTGACCAAGTGAATTCTTTTGGAGACATTCTGCAATTAGTTATAGTTGAACTGATTTACAAGGTAAGCTTGACAAATCATACAGATTTTATATATGGAGAAGATAAAAGATTGATGTAGGATTTAGTTGATAGCTCATCTTGTCCATATGGCCAGTATGCAATATTGCCATCACTTATCATCATTTGTCGTCCATTTTACTTTTAAAATGTCTGGTTGGGTATTCATGACACACATTGATAAAGTGTCTTGTTAAATTTAGGGAAGGTTGTCTCATTTAAGTGATGAATTAAAAATTTGTACCAGTATTGTATTGAAGAGAACACTTCAAATGTTATAGTCATTATAAAGCAAAAGTGGTGTTTTCTTTTTTCTTTGTCTGATTCTGTGTTCGGTTTTTATATCCCAGATACAAAGTTAATTGGGCATATAGGAATCAGCCAGTCTATCTATCTGACTGTCCAAACTAACTTTTGAGTTTTGCCCAATTTAAACTTAATTACAGATTATGATGTGTCAATTTTGATGAATAAAGTAATTTTTTCTATCTTTTGAATTTTTGTTGAATTATTCCCCCTGAACTTAAAAATTGTGTATGCTATTTATTATGCAGTTTTTGAAGCAACTGGTGCTACATTTTTTATCAGATGTTCATGAAACTTTGTATATTGTAAGATCCAAACATGAAGATGAACATCTTATTAGGGTATCCAGGTCCTATACAAATAATATTAAATGATAAGATGTTTTGGGCTAACAAAAAGTGGAACCTAGAGGTGTTTGCCCTGCTCTGCAGACAGTTCTATTTTTTTCTGCTCATCAGTTTTTTGTGATGCATGAATAAACTCATCTCCATGCTTTATTTGCAGTTCTAATTTTGTAAGGGATATTTTTCTCTAAGATTTAAAAAGGCAATGCATTTTAGCCCTAGTGGGCTATACATGTTTTTCTCCTTTTGACAATATTTTCACTTAAAATCTTAGGTTCTGATTAACATTTTGAACTTTACAACCATAATGAAGATACATAGTTGAATATTTCAGTACAGAATTTCAACTTTTATTGTGATTTTTTGAGAATTATTTTTTCTCAGTAAAAGTGATAATTTAATGTATAATTTTGTTCAGCTGTATATATGACTGCAAAATTTAGATTGCACTTCCAAATGAAAAATGGGAAATGCAAAATTTTTATTAGGGCCCCGCCGAATGGCGGACGCCCTATAGTGATCAGTCTGTCCGTCCGTAACAATTTGTGTCCGCTCTATATCTAGAGAACCGTTATGATTTCAAAGTTTATACTTGACATGTATATTAACCAACACCAGAGGGTGTTTCATAATGTATGTACAACTTCCTAGGTCAAAGGTCAAGGTAAAAAAACTTTGGTTTTAGTTGACAACCCCATGTCCTATATCTTGAGAACTGTTATGATTTCAAAGTTTATACTTGATATGTATATAAACCAACACCAGAGGGTGTGTCATAATTTATGTACAACTTCCTAGGTCAAAGGTCAAGGTCAAAAACTTTGGTTTCAGTTGACAACCCCATGTCAAATGATAAAGATACAAATTTTTTACCACACATTATTCACAGCGGGGCCCTCAGAGATGGCTCCCATCTCAATGATATCTAGTTGAACTTTGTTAACTCAAACTACCGATTTATAGATCCTGTTTTGACAACCTGTTCAGATTTTTCACAGAGGTATCTCACATAAGGATTAGTTGAACAGTTTGTTTGAAACAATATGAAAAATTTCAATTCTTAGGTTAAGATCTTAATTTCCCATAACATAGTTTGTTTTCTACCTTGTAATGATCAGAAAGACTTGCTTTGAACTCCACTTATTGATGCAATAACTTGAATAAGCATATACAAATAAGATGGGGGTTTGAAAGGAAGTCTTGCCTATTATTATAGTATAATACAAACACTTGTCCACTGTGTTATCGGGTTCTACAACTTTGGTAGAATCAAATTGATTATCATTTATTGGCATAAAATCGTCAATAAGATAATATGCACATCATCATATTATGCAAAACAGCTGTGCAAAATTTCTATTTAGAAAAAAGTCAACTCAGTTGGATTAGGATTTATAATTTGCATCAGGAGAATATGTATTTGTCAGCAATTTTATACACCAGAATGGAAATGGGGAACAACCCGACCAAAGAGCAGACAGCAGCCGAAAGGCCACCAATGGGTCTTCAATGCAGCGAGAAAATCTCGTACCCGGAGGTGGTCCTCAGCTGGCCCCTAACTAAAATTGTATGCTTGTTCAGTGAAAATGGACGTCACACTAAACTCCAAAACATATAAATGAACTAAAATTTAAAAACATACTAGACTAACAAAGGCCAGAGGCTCCGACTTGGGACAGGCGCAAAAATGTGGCGGGGTTAAACATGTTTTGTGAGATCTCAACCCTCCCCTATACCTCTAGCCAATGTAGAATAAAGAAACACATAGTAATACGCACAGTAAAACTCAGTTTAAAAGAAGTCTGAGTCCGATGTCAAAATAGGTAACAAAAGAAACTAAGCAAAATGACAATGATACATAAATGAACAAAGGACTACTAGTAGTTACTGACATGCCAGCTCCAGACCTCAATTAAACTGATTGAAAGATTATGTCTTCATCATAAGAAAATCAAGTACAATCCCTCCTGTTAGGGGTTTAGTATCATACCATCATAAAATATATGAGAAGAACATAACCCGTATCATGCCAACAACTGGTTTTAGAATAAATGTGTTTATTTTCGATGCAAAGACCCTATATGAGTGAATCAATATTAATACCAAAATATGCAATCCTTAATGACTTGACAACAGTATAGTAACTATATCCTTTCCGAATAAGTCTGTTTAAAGGTTTGGTTAGCTTTTGAGGTGAATGACGACATTTTTGTGCTTTGTAAAGAATATTACCATAAAATATTGGATGTGAAATACCTGACTGCCATGACTGCTAACTTATTTAATTGATAGTTAGTTTATGTAAAAGAATGTTTTGCCAGTGATCTGAAATTATATTTGTATTTAGCACAATTCAAAGTGAAAAGACAAGTGCTATGTAATAATCTACTTACCCTAGAATTCTGTATTGTAACTGCCAAGTCACTAAATTCATTAAGATCACTAATCCTTTGAAAATCAAAATGTGTTGGGACAGTCAGATTTAAATGTTTGAACAGAGCCATGGTTAGTGCTCTGTGCTAAAATCATAAATGACCACTCTGATTGTGGATTTTACTCACTTAAATCTACTCACAAGGTCTGTTTATGGTTCAGTGATTTGTATAGATTAAATAATGTTTGTCTTTGTTTTGTAAACATTAAAGGCTTAAGAAATTACAGAGATAAAAAGCATTGAAAAATCTTTAGAATTAATATGTATTGTTATGAATTTTTATGAATTGGTATATTGTTTGACCATCTTTCATTAGTTCCAGACTTAATTTACCAGGGTTGTCATAGCTGAGTTTTTTTACTTGTTATATAAAAATTCAATAGGAAGGTTTACTTATTGGGTGTAAATCCTACAGTATAATTCAGAATCATACAATTTATTTTAAGTTTATATGCCCCGCCGCCTTTCAACAGGGGCAATAAGTATCACCCTTGTCCATTTGTACGCTTGTCTGTCCATCCATCCCAAAATTGGTTTCCGTTCTTAAACTTTAGTTTGCCCCATCCAAATGATATGAAACTTATACACAATGCCTTTTACCACCAAACACAGATCAAGATATAATTTGGGTGGCGTCACTTTCACTGTTCTCAAGTAATGTCCCTTTATAAACGAAAAAATTGCTGCATTTGCTGTTTCTGCTCCCTTAATTTACTTGTGCCTCAACCAAATGTTATGAAACTTTTACACAATGCTTATTTCCACCTAACACAGATTAAGTTCCATTTTGAGTGGCGTCACTTTCACCGTTCTCAAGGTATGTCCCTTTATAACTGGAAAAATTGTTGAATTTGCAGTAAATTTACAAGCAGTGGCATTTGTATTCTTCTTTTATTTTAATATATGTTATAAATCATTGAAATATATGTTATATAGATTTACAATAACATGTTGTATTATTTTCTTCTTAAAGTTGATGTGTGTAATTTTTTCATGACATGCCATTTTCTAAGATGAAGTTTTATAATTTAAAAATACTGCTATGACCTGGTCTGTCTTTTCATCTGTCCATCGATCCATATTTTTGTTACATATTATCTGTCCATATTCTTCGTTTCATATTACCTAGCTCCTGTATAAAGGAATGATTTTATGTTTGGCCAGTAAATTTGTGATGTTGACCTGTACCGTGTTTCAGCAGGGGTTCAAATTAGAGGTGGTCTGAGGTCCGTGACCTTCCACTGTTGCAATCGGACTTATGTTTTGGTTACTAGCTACGTCCGACGATTTTAAAGGAAATAAAAATGATCTTTGCTGACCATTTTAACCATCTGTATCGTCATTTTTAAGCCATATTATTATTGAAATTGAGATAAAAAAATGTTTCATCCCTGACCTTGCCGACGAGTGATAAAAGTTATTTTTAACCTTTGTATTTCTTGGAAACACAAGGTTATAAATAGTTGCGAGAAGTAACGTGACAAATCATTTAATCATTTAGACATTTTCAAACAAAATGAGTCTGTTTCACTTTGGTGTCACGTCTTGCAAGAGAAAGCCTGAAGATTATGAACGGTCGTCAACCACAGGCACTTGTTTCTATCCATGGGAAGGTCGACTATCCATAAATATAGAAGGATATTCAACCTTCCCATGGATAGAAACAAGTGCCTGTGTCTTCAACGTCTTCAAAAGAAATCATATGAAGATCTCACTATAGACCAAAAATGTGATCGTGAAAAACGGGAATGGACATTTAAGCCCCACTGGAAAATCGATCGAACCGTGGCTATATTTTGATGAATCAAGTTTCCCACCCATTCGGAAAAAGAAAGTGCACTTGTTAGGGGAACACAAAATCTTAAAATAGACCCAATAAAAATATACGAGGTGACACCCCAGCATTTATCTTGTTTAAAGCAGTGGATCCATGAAAGTGACCCAAATTTTAAGTCTATAGATTAATTGTCAGACACTAAACTTGGACTATGTATTCTCAAGCAGCAATGTAAGCCTGATCAGTTAAATAGATATATAATGTTCTTTTCAACACTGCATACAGTATTGCAAAAAAGGGAAATTAACCCTTCAGTGACTATGAATTTGTTCTTGAAATCCAGTGCAAAAATGGTGTTGATGTGTAAGCAGTACTTCAATATTGAAGGTTGTAAACTGTTTATTCGCTGGATAGCCCATTATATGAGAAACGAAACATCACATGCAGTTCAAATATGAGGAAACAAACTAACCTTACTCCAAAAACACATTAATTTTGTATCTTATTGAGTTATGAAATGTTTCATGTATAAGTAGGACCTGGCATTTAGGTTGTGGACCTTTCAGTTTGGAGTGTCAAAGGTCCTGGACCTTCCAGTACCAAATGTTAATTTGAACCCCTGCTCAGACTTGCCGTGATTATCTTGTTAAAAGTAGATTGTACCAATTGTGATACATTTCTTCCCTGTCACCATTCAATCTATGATTTGTATACTGATAAATATTTATTATAGCTATCTTAAAATAAAACCTAAATGGTCAAAGAAAGCAATAACTTACACAGACAGATCGTAAATCACATGAAAACTGCAGCCTTACAAACAAAAGTATGTTTAATTATCAACTGTGGAAGATTTAGTTTATAAACACTTTTGACTTTGGTTATAATACACAAAATGTTTTCATGTGGTCATCTGTCACATGTAACAACAGAATAAAATCATGCAATATAGAAACAGAGTTTGATTAAAATACTAGAAATAAAAATATAAAAAATGGTTGTTACCATATTGATTGGTATCAGATGTTTGCTCAGATGTGTGATAAAAAAGTCCCAGTGTTTATATGTGTAAATTTCCAATGATAACAGAACACAGTATTGAACTTGCAAGATAAACCCTATTACAGGAAGATAATTATTTTTTTTTGTAAAATTTACTTTCATTTTTAAATTTGACAGTTTGTATTTATGCTTATTGTGTTCTGCATGATTGATTTTTTTCACAATTATATTATTTACTTGTAAAAACATTAAATAGTTTCAAAGGTCTTGTGTTTATATTTTTCATATATAAAAAATGCTGTTTGCTTTCTTTCTAAATGATATTGTGTTTTCCTGATTGTTTACTTTTGGTATATTTTGTCGTATACTGGTCTGATATATATGACAAATTGAATATTTATAAATTGAATTCGGAAGTAAGAACTCCCCACCCCAATCATAACAACAACAAAAGATGTAGCATTTTATCTGTTTGCAATGGAGTGAAACATAAATTTTTATCTTTTTTAACTTTTAGGTTTGCCATGCTAATCCATCAGAAAGAGCCAGATTTATCAGATGCATTTATAACCTTCTGAACTCTTCTAGTCCTGCTGTCAAATATGAAGCCGCTGGTACCCTGGTTACACTGTCAAGTGCTCCTACTGCTGTTAAGGTAAATGGTTATCTCCCTTACAAGAAGTGCTCAGAAATATTTACAGAAACAAATTTTTATTTTTCCCAATTTAATTCTCTTCGTAAATATGTTATAAAATTTCTTCATGAAAATTTTGCACTTAAATGAAATAATGTGTTAAATTAAAACAAATTTTTGAAGAATATAAATCTGCAGATCAGGCCTTAAATATTTAGCTGACTGACAGGAAAGAAGAGGATAGTTGAGTTGAGTTGATGAATCTGTCGATGTGTTTGATCTGACCAAAAATTGAAAAAAAATTGTGATGCCAGTATGATATAATGTGAAATAATCTTTCAATAGTTTTCTTTAATGCAGTAATTTAACTGCCAAAATGTACCGGAAACATTATTAAATCATTAGTGTGATAACTTTTGAGGACTTAGGTTTTGAACAAAATAGATATTGATGAAAAATTATTTTAAATAAAGATTCTTGCAAGTGTTAAAGTTTGGAATAGAATACTTGTGCAATATAAATGTCTTATTGCTATGTTTTAGGCTGCAGCCAGTTGTTATATTGAATTAATTGTAAAAGAGAGTGACAACAATGTGAAACTGATTGTTTTGGACAGACTGATAGCACTCAGAGAGGTGCCAGCTCATGAGAAAGTTTTACAGGTACATGTATTGTCTTTGTAAAAATCTATGTATATGGATTAATCAGTAATTTGGAATTTTCTTGTTAGCTGTTTCTATGTATATGAAATTCTGTTAGTATATTGGAATATCTGTAATGCTGTACCCTGAATATGACATGTCAGGCATTTACATAAACATACTGTTTATATGCTTTTCTGTACTGAAGTTATATTATATATTTAGTCTTTTTAATGAGCAAGTATTTCAAAACACAATAAAACCATTAAATTTGATGTCCTCAAACTATGAGAATTGTTTATCCAAAAATTTGAAATCCTTAAAAATAGAAATATTTAATGCACATTTGGTGTTATTCGAAACTTATAAATCTTTTGGAAAGCAATTTGTTTTCTACACAGTTAAGACCCATGATAGTTTAGGGAAAAGAGCAGGTCATATAGTGACCATTTGCAAATAGGTTTTAACATTCCAAGAACTATGATAGTTAAGGGATAAGATCTAGAGTAGGCCATATAGGGACCATGAGTAATTGATATTTTTAGTTTCTCACCCAGCCCAACCATCTGTGTTTCTCCAGTTTAGGTCAAAAGTTTCTTGTCTATTCTTTCATAATTTATGTTGAATAACATGTTCTAGACCTGACTGTATTGATAATATGGGTAGCGATGTGTTAATCAACCAGTCTTCTACCATAATAAAATATAAATCAATGAAGATATTCAATGAATGATGGTCAGTTGTGAGAAAAAGTGTGGTAATGACACTTTATTTTTCATCGTCAATTTCTGGCTTTATTTTTTATTGTCAATTTCTGGCTGTATTCATTTGAAGTCATATAAATTGTTACTTTCAGGAATTGGTAATGGATATACTGAGAGTATTGAGTGCACCAGATTTGGAAGTTAGGAAGAAAACACTGGGCTTAGCATTGGATCTGGTTACCTCTAGAAATATTGAAGAGGTATGTCAAGGGAGATAATCTTTAATATTTACAAAGTTTGAAATTTCTTCATTTTAAAATATGATATTGCTTAATTTATGATGTGAAATTTATTGATATCATTCTATAAAGCATGCATGATTTTTCTTTAAACAGACATAGAAGTTAGCAGTATTTAGAGTTTAATATGTTTTCATATGAAAATTGAGGTCTTTCCCAAAACAAATACCTAGAGTTTCAGAAATTGATATATTTTTTAACATGTGTGCATAGGGTTTCATTAAGTATGTACAGTAACAACAAACAAACATTAATGAATGCATAATCCAACATTGTTGAGTACCTCCATTGTATAGGCATGAAAGAACATTATCATTGCGCAGAAAATTAAATGAATCATTAACAACAACTTTCAATATTGTAGATGGTCTTGGTTTTGAAAAAAGAAGTTGTGAAGACAAACAATGTAGAACATGAAGATACTGGGAAATATCGTCAAATCCTGGTCAGAACACTTCATCAGTGTAGCATCAAGTTCCCAGATATAGCTATCACTATTATTCCTGTGGTAAGTCAAAATTTAAATCATGAAGTATTAGATTATCATCAGAGGTGTCATGGATGTGTTTACCCAGAATTATTATCAATTAGGACTGTTTTGATAGTTGCAATATGTGTTCAAGTTGAAAAGTACATATACCGTTTGAAAAAATATCCTATCCAAATGTAAGCTAAGTTTTAAAAAGAAATCATATTTTTTTTTCTGAATTGTAAAGAACTTTGTTTTGAATGATAATATCATTAATTGAATGGCTATGAATTAAAACATCAGAAATTATATTAACTTTCAGCTGATTGAATTCCTGTGTGATCAGAATGAGTTAGCTGCCCTTGATGTACTTGTATTTGTAAGAGAAGCCATTCAGAGATTTGAATCGCTAAGACCAGTCATCAACAGTAAACTGCTAGAGGTGTTCCCGTCTGTCAAAGCATTGAAGTAAGATATAGGACTTTTATTATTCTGGTGTTCCCGTCTGTCAAAGCATTGAAGTAAGATATAGGACTTTTATTATTCTGGTGTTCCTGTCTGTCAAAGCATTGAAGTAAGATATAGGACTTTTGTTATTCTGGTGTTCCTGTCTGTCAAAGCATTGAAGTAAGATATAGGACTTTTATTATTCTGGTGTTCCCATCTGTCAAAGCATTGAAGTAAGATATAGGACTTTTATTATTCTGGTGTTCCCATCTGTCAAAGCATTGAAGTAAGATATAGGACTTTTATTATTCTGGTGTTCCCATCTGTCAAAGCATTGAAGTAAGATATAGGACTTTTATTATTCTGGTGTTCCCATCTGTCAAAGCATTGAAGTAAGATATAGGACTTTTATTATTCTGGTGTTCCCATCTGTCAAAGCATTGAAGTAAGATATAGGACTTTTGTTATTCTGGTGTTCCTGTCTGTCAAAGCATTGAAGTAAGATATAGGACTTTTATTAATCTGGTGTTCCCATCTGTCAAAGCATTGAAGTAAGATATAGGACTTTTATTATTCTGGTGTTCCGATCTGTCAAAGTATTGAAGTAAGATATAGGACTTTTGTTATTCTGGTGTTCCTGTCTGTCAAAGCATTGAAGTAAGATATAGGACTTTTATCATTCTGGTGTTCCTGTCTGTCAAAGCATTGAAGTAAGATATAGGACTTTTATTAATCTGGTGTTCCCATCTGTCAAAGCATTGAAGTAAGATATAGGACTTTTATTATTCTGGTGTTCCGATCTGTCAAAGTATTGAAGTAAGATAAAGGACTTTTATTATTCTTGTCATATCTATAAGTTGTTCAAAACTTTAGATTTTTTTTTCTATGATGATATATAAGATTATTGAGGACACTTAAGTTATTAAAATCACATAAGCATATAAGAGATATGTTTTTATGCCTCACCTAGGGGCATTATGTTTTTCGGTCTGTGTGTCCGTTTGTTTGTCCGTTCGCTCGTTTGTTCATCCGTCTGTCTGTCCCGCTTCAGGTTAAAGTTTTTGGTCAAGGTAATTTTTGATGAAGTAGAAGTCCAATCAACTTGAAACTGTTTACACATGTTCCCAAGATATGATCTTTCTAATGTTAATGCCATATTAGAGTTTTGACCCCAATTTCACGGTCCACTGAACATAGAAAATGATAGTGCGAGTGGGGCATTCGTGTACTATGGACACATTCTTGTTTTCAGCTATTAAATGTTGGAATTCTATTGTTAAAAGAAATAGTTGAGTTTAATATATTTTCTGATTACACAAAAACCTATAAGTTTCAAATTTATTGATATTTTTTTCAAACTTTACGTACAATATTCTCAAGTTATAGCATTAATTTATGCTTAATTCCTATATTTTTGTTAGAATACACAGAGCAGCTTTGTGGATTCTTGGAGAGTACTGCACCAACTCTGAAGATATACAGAGTGTAATGACCTTGATAAGACAATCTCTTGGTGAGGTAGGTCAGACTGGAAATATGTGTATATACTGCAGCTGTGCTATTTGCACAGTCAAATTGCATTGACCGTATAATCATTTGTGTTATACAGTCACTGACCGTATATCGCCTTGTTTATGACAGTGACAATGCGTATCCGTAGAGTTTTATTTATGACGTCATTAAAAGGTACAGGTTTGCGGAATTTTATGTTGTTTGCTCCAAATTAAAAATGATGATTTTTACCCTAACTATTTCATTTGGAAGAGTAGTAGGAGTTGCAGTATATAAAGAATAACCATACATTGTCTCGAAATATAAATTTTATTTGTACTCGGCTCAAAACTGGATAGAAATGCTCGGCAAATTTATATTTTGAGACAATGTTTGGTTATTTTATATATATAAATAAACCTTGTGTCATAATATTCCAACAAGCATGCAGCCTTTACAGTGGATGTCATGAGTATACGCAAACCACAAATTTAATTGTTCCAACAAAACACAAATTTCTTATTGGCTTGTAAGCAAATTTTTGCAAAACAATGAAATCAAGTATCCATAAAAATACACAATTCTTCCTTTTAATACATGAAAATTGATACCAACCAAAATAAATGAATCCACAGTATTTTAAGTTGACTTTGCACATATCCTCACCATAACATTTTGTATGACATGTTTTAGATACCTATCGTTGATGATGAGATTAAGAAAGCTGCTGGTGAAGTAGAAGAAGATGAGATGCAGACCACTAGTTCTGTACAGAAGTTAGTAACAGCAGACGGCACTTACGCTACTCAGAGTGCATTCAGTACTACTACTGTCTCCAAAAAGGAAGAAAGGTACATACAATTTATGTTTATAAGATTATATAATAGGATATAGAATTTTAAAACTGATAAAGAAAAACAAATTTTCCTTGCAATAAACTACTTTTTTAAGCCATTATATTTATTTGTACCACATCCAAATTATTAAATTTGATTTATCATGGAATTGAACTTGCAGCAATTAAGGTCTTGACATTTAGTATGGATACTTGTTCAATGTTGAAAACAGTTGTTGACCTATCAATATTTTGTGTTTTCTAATGTTGGGTTACTGTTTCGATATGTTATACCTTGCATATACTTAAATTTTTCTCCTTCTGTTAAAACCAAATTGCCTTATACAAAAAGAAGAGTAATACATATTGTTTCGTACAGACTGTTTAAAATTGCACAAACATATTTAAAAAAAAATTCTACACAAATTAAGGCTAGTAAAAAACAACATTCCAAGGATTTTATTCAGATTCTTCATTTTATGCATATTTTGCTAGGATAAATCTAAATCTTTGATACAAATTATCCAAATTTTGATTTACATTTATACTTCTATATAAAGTCAGACAACTATTTTTATTGTATTTTTTCTATTAGGGAAGGAGAAACCATATAAACACAATTAGAATGAAAAAATAATTCAATATCACAGTTTAAAAATAGAGTAAGAATATATAATGAATCAATGTTACTCTTTCAAACAGACCACCAATGAGGCAATACCTGATGGATGGTGAATTCTTTGCAGGAGCAGCTTTAGCCACTACTCTTACTAAACTTGCTCTTAGATTTATAGAGTGTACTGAAAATGTCAAGAGACAAAATGTAAGTAATTTAATGGATTTTATATATATTAGGAGACACTTCAAAACTTCATCATGGTTTTTTAGGGGGTTGTTGCTTTTATTTTGTTGTTTTTGTTTTTTATACGACACAAAATTTTTGTGGTCGTATATTGGTATGACGTTGGCGTCGTCGTCGTCCGAAGACACATTAGTTTTCGCACTCTAACTTTAGTTAAAGTGAATGGATCTCAATGAAATTTTACCATAAGGTTCAATACCACAAAAGGAAGGTGGGGATTGATTTTGGGGGTTATGGTACCCACAGTTAAGGAATTAGGGGCCAAAAAGGGGCCAAAAATAAGCATTTTTGTAACTTCCAGACATAACTTGTGTGTAAGTGTATGGATCTCTCTGACATTGTACCACAAGGTTCCATATCACAAAGGGAATGCTGGGATTGATTTTGGGGGTAATTGCCTCCAAATTTTAGGAATTAGGGGCCAAAAAGGGGCAAAAAACAAACATTTTTCTAGTTTTATGACAATAACTTGTGTGTAAGTGTATGGATCTCTCTGACATTGTATCACAAGGTTCCATATCACAAAGGGAATGCTGGGATTGATTTTGGGGGTAATTGCCTCCAAATTTTAGGAATTAGGGGCAAAAAAGGGGCAAAAAACCAGCATTTTTCTAGTTTCATGACAATAACTTGTGTGTAAGTGTATGGATCTCTCTGACATTGTATCACAAGGTTCCATATTACAAAGGGAATGCTGGGATTGATTTTTGGTTAATTGCCTCCAAATTTTAGGAATTAGGTGCCAAAAAGGCGCAAAAAACAAGCATTTTTCTAGTTTCATGACAATAACTTATGTGTAAGTGTATGGATCTTTTTGAAATTGTACTACAAGGTTCCATATCACAAAGGGAAAGCTGGAATTGAGTTTGGGGGTAATTGCCCAAAAAGTTTAGGAATAAGGGGCCAAAATAAGCATTTTTCTAGTTTCCAGACAATAACTTGTGTTCAAATGTATGGATCTCTCTGAAATTGTACTGCAAGGTACCATACCACAAAGGGAAGGCTGGGATTGATGTTGGGGGTTATTCCTTCAAAATTTTAGTAATTAGGGGCCATAAAAGGGCAAAAAAACAAGCATTTTTCTAGTTTCAGAACAATAACTTGTGTGTAAGTGTATGGTTCTTTATGAAATTGTACTGCAAGGTTCCATATCACAAAGGGAAAGCTGGGTTTGAGTTTGGGAGTAATTGCCCTAAACGTTTAGGAATTTGGGGCCAAAAAACAAGCATTTTTCTAGTTTCCAGACAATAACTTGTGTTCAAGTGTATGGATCTCTCTGAAATTGTACTGCAAGGTACCATACCACAAAGGGAAAGCTGGGATTGAGTTTGGGGGTGATGAATCATAAGGGGGTTCAAAAAATTGGGGGGGGGGGGGGTTCCTTTTTTTTTCTTTAAAATTTTCCATTTTAAATTGGTTATTTCTGATTTATATATAAAAGCAAATAATAATGATATGGTTTGAATAGGTAAATTAAAAATTTTTAAGTTCTTAGACCACTTTCATTCTGTGTGAGAAACCTATGCTGTGTCAAATATTTAATTACAATCCAAATTCAGTGCTGTATCAAGCTTGAATGTTGTGTCCATACTTGCCCCAACTGTTCAGGGTTCGACCTCTGCGGTCGTATCAAGCTGCACCCCAGCGGAGCATTTTATTTGCAACTTTTAAGGGGGGAAGCAAAATTATGCATTCCAGTATATCTTTTCATCACAGTTCAATGTGACATCAATTATTGAGTTCCAGACATCTTTATTAAAGGAAAAAAACAGTTAACAAGCATCACACAAGGTTTTTTTAATTGAATAAACACTGAAGTGCATAGACATAATACAAGAGTTATTTTATAGTAATACACTTTCGCTCCACAATTAACTGTTTTTTAAAGAAGCATAACCCCAAAAGAATATAATCATCATTTACTTTATTTTTTACTTGCAACCATAGTTATTCTATAAATAACGTATTTTTTCAAATATATAAATTTGGATTATATTCTCTTATGTTTAAAAGAAAAACATTAAGCACCACGAAGGTAATCATTCTTTGAAGAAGAAAAAAAAACCAATATAATGAATATATATAGATTAATTCTAATATTGCTTTATCATTTATATTAAAAGCATAGTAAACACTATTCTAGTTTTAATGTGATTTATAACATTATCTTTACAGTCTTTTGTAGCAGAGGCAATGTTGATAATGGCGTCCATCATACATTTTGGCAAATCTGGTCTACCAACAAAGGTACATTATAGAATATTTTATTGCACCAATCCTATGCAATTCAAGCAGTAAGGAAATAGAAAACTGGGTGTCAGTATATCTCTCCTGATTGTTAGTCTCTATCACTTTTTCAGATATTTTTTAATTTACCGGTTTTTATTTTAAACAACCAAGGATTATTCATAAGACACACTAATAGATATTTTGTTCCTTGAAGAAAGTAAAGTCATCTTGCAACTTACTGGGAAGATGTTTGACATCTTACCCCACTCGTGCGGGTGCACTCGACTCCAATCTTAATTGACTAGGATTGTCAGTTTTCCTATCTAAGGTCGGTGGTTTTCTCCGGGCACTCCGGCTTCCTCCACCAATAAAAACTGGCCGCCACGAAATAGCCCAAAAGTGGCGCTTAAAACTGGCGTTAAAACACCAAAAATCAATCAATGTTTGACATCTTGTCATACAGTCTGGCTGATTTTTTTCACACTGAATTTTCACGCTTTCAACCACTATTTAAAAATTTGACATGTAATCTTATAAATTAAAAGTTGTAGTAGAAATTTAAGAATATGTGAAAGCTAGGTCTATTGCATTTGAGGATATACAATAGACATTCCTACACTGGACTGAAGACCTCTTCAAATAACTTAGAGCAATGCATAGTTATTGACCCATTGATGTTGATGATATATGACTTGTTTCAGCCAATGACAGATGATGATGTAGACCGTATTGCTACCTGTTTAAGAGTACTAGCAGAGAGAAGTCCTCTGATGAATGACATATTTAATGACAGCTGTAGAGAGTCACTATCTTTGATGTTGGCCTCTAAAGTTGAGGAAGAGAAAGAATTGCAAAGGGTAAGATCTATAGATTTATAGGTAGCTTTTATGGATATGGTTATTTATTTATGCCAAGTATAAGAAAATGTTAAAGTGATATTAAAATTTTTTCATAATAACATTCCCTGAGGTTAAGAGTAGAAGGAACACCACCTTTTGTCATATATTTGTATATTCAACTAGTACTTTAGAATTAATTCCGTAACAAAGATGTTATAATAAACCCTGAAATCAAATATCAAATGAAACTAGATTTTTTTTTACAAACCACAGTAGTTGTACAAATAATTAATAATTGTACTCTCTACAACATTCAAAGAAGTCATTATAAATATCAGCCTACCTCTATTTGAGATAGAAAAAAAACAATACAATTGCCTTGATCTCGTACCACATGGGAAGCATTAACGGTATTTATTAGAAATTCTATGAATTGTATTTTTCAGGCCTCTGAAAGGAAAACTGTTAAAGTACAAGCTGATGACCCTATTGCCTTTAATCAGTTGATAAACAAGAGTGAACTGGGAGCTACAGAGGTTTGTACAATTTGTGTTTAAAATAATTTTTTCATTCAATTAAGAAAATTACATGCATTATACCCCCACCAAGGTGTCCGGAAACGGTCATATTTGCCAGTCATGTCCTAAGATGAAAGCTATATGTCCTAAACGAGTAATTGGGATTTAGGACAAATTTTATTTTTTAACAGAAATAATTTCGGTCATTTCATTGACTTAATGTTTGAAATCAGGTTTCTTAATCAACATTTTCCACTTGTGATCACTTGTTTTTGTTTATAATCCCTTTCCTGTAATAAAACTGCCAGTCCAGTAGTTTGATAATCCTGAGGGCCCTCCTAATATCTATATCAATGCCTCCGGGTAACATTGGCTAATGATCGCTAATCACATTTTACCTGTGGTTTTAATTCACACCTGACAATTGGTCACATTGATCACAAGCTCAGAATAATATCTTTAAGAAATTAAAATTCCCTGACAAGATATTCATTATTTAATTACTTTCAGCAAAGACAATCATCAATTCTGATTTAAAAATAAACCTTACTTTAATTGACGTAGAAAAAAGTATTTTTTCATGAGTAACACATGTGCTTTATTTACTATGTAATACGCATGCGTGAAATTGTCTTCAGCAAATTAAATATTTAATCGTAAAATGCAAATTGATTTCATGCTAAAATAAACGAGTGCAACTATAATCTGTTATATTCAAACACTTTTAAATGTAATAGAATAAAAAGAAGCTGGTGATTTCCTGTCAATTTGATAAACAAAACGAATCCCGGAAATGAATCCAGAATTATTCGTACTTTAATATGATCGCAAATCTTCCGGTTTTAATTTTGTCAAATCGAAAGAAACATAAGCAATGTCTGAGAAATTAACCATTTTGAGTCATTAAAATCATTTCAATTTTAAACTGTTGCCTTCTCTAAACTGTTCTTGAAGGTTTTTAGAAATTTACTTAGTAAATGCGATGAAACAGCAATACAAGTTCGTTGATGCTATGAATCTAGTTTGACATCGACAATTTGAAAGGGGCACCAACTTTTCAATCATCTCAAAATGACCGAAATTGTGTGAAAAAATTTCCGGATCCTTGACCCCCACTCACATGGAAAGGGATATACTGCCTTATTTCTTTCTGTTCATACATCAGTCTCATGAATTTTCTTAGAATTTTTCTCAGGTAATACAAATCAGAGTTTCCTGAAATTTAGTATCAAACTTCATATGAGCATGCTATACAGTGTCCATGTGTTTTCATATCCATCCCTCTTCAACTTCGTGTTTATGGAATTCTTGTACCAGTATATTCCTACAAGTAATGGCCATCTATGTAAACTCTCAGAAGCTAGCAATCTTCACATGAGCATGCTTTTATGTGTGATACATTTTTTATATCCAAGGTTAATCAGCTTCCTGTTTACTGAATACTTGTAATTGAAGTATCATTACTGAGCATAGCTCACACTATATCTTGCTTGCTTATATTTGTTTTTAGCAGTAAGGCTCAAGTGAATTGCACCGATAAATTTTGCATTTTATTGTGTAGTGTACTAACAATTTTAAGATCAAAACAATAATTTAAAAATTTTAAGAGTGATAGATATTTTGAAAGAATGTACATAAACAAAATCTTTAACACTGTAGAACATGTTCGAGCTTACCCTATCCCAAGCCTTGGGAATGAGCAGTAAGAAGGATGCAGATCCTATGGGAGCCTCTAAACTGAACAAAGTAACCCAGTTAACTGGTTTCTCTGACCCTGTTTATGCTGAAGCTTATGTGAATGTGAACCAGTTTGATATTGTTCTGGATGTCCTTATTGTGAACCAGACATCAGATACATTACAGAATCTTACCCTTGAACTAGCCACACTTGGTAAGTTCATATGAACAAAATTATAGTTGTGTGTTAGTTCACCTTTCAAGAATAAAATGTTTAGTATTATCCTGCTGAAAGTAATCACAAAAATCTTAGAAATGAATTTTATTATTTATAATTTGATTGTGATGACAAAACATGAACAGGTTTGACTTTTTACTAAGAAACAGGTCTTTGCAATATAAAATGTTATTTTTAAAGGTTTTTCCTAATAGATTTTATAAGATAATATTATTTGATATTAGCAGGGTATTCTGTGAATTTATATGGTTTTCTTGTCTTTTCTGACTTTTTCTTAATATATGGCTGTTTACAGGTGACTTTAAGTTGGTAGAGAAACCTTCACCACTGATGTTAGCTCCACATGACTTCTGTAATATCAAGGCTAATGTTAAAGTAGCAGGCTTCATGTCTAATTAGTTTTTATTGTTTACTGTTTACAGGTGACCTGAAGTTGGTAGAGAAACCTTCACCACTGATGTTAGCTCCACATGACTTCTGTAATATCAAGGCTAATGTTAAAGTAGCATCTACAGAGAATGGAATAATATTTGGAAATATAGGTAGGAATTGTAGAATTGAAGGTATAGGTCAATTAAAGGATTTTATTGTGCATAATTCTTTCATGAGATGCTGCAATGGATGGTTCGAAAGAATTAAGATTTTTTTTTTGCACCTGGAATCAAATTATTTTGACATTTATAGATAAATCTTATTTTTAGCTAGTACCATGTAGAATTGATTATCCAAAAAAATAATTTGAATTGAAGAAACCCTTTATACATTTCTTTTGAACCTTTCAATATATATAACCTGACATAAAAATGTTTGATTTCTTTATTTAAAAAAAAGCTATCTCAAAACATATCTCTCCATTTTATGTTAAAAATACCTTTATCTTGTCAATAAAATGACCAGCTTTTCCGGGTTGTTAAAATAATAATTATATGTAACTGCTCTTGATATTGTTAGTATGAAAAAGAAGAAATGTGGTATGATTGCCAATGAGACAACTATTTACCAAAGACCAGAGGACTAGAATGTAAACAACAACAGGTTGGTTTTATACATTTTTGACTGCTGGGAATGGCCAAGATGTTTATTTTCTTCCTTCATTTTTCTTTATCTTATATCTTGCAGTGTATGATGTAAGTGGAGCTGCAAGTGATCGTAACTGTGTTGTCCTGAATGATATCCATATTGACATCATGGACTACATTGTACCTGCGTCATGTAATGATGGAGAGTTCAGACAGATGTGGGCAGAGTTTGAATGGGAAAACAAAGTGGCAGTCAACACCAATATATCTGATTTACAAATCTTCCTACAACATGTCATAAAGTGTACTAATATGAAATGTCTAACACCAGATAAGGTCAGTGCTAATATGTCAATTATTATAGATAAAGGTCTTTGATTTTTTTTATGCCCCACCTAGGGGCATTATGTTTTTCGGTCTGTGCATCCGTTCGTCCATCTGTCCGTCCGTCCGTCCGTCCGTCCGTCTGTCCCACTTCAGGTTAAAGTTTTTGGTCAAGGTAGTTTTTGATGAAGCTGAAGTCCAATCAATTTGAAAATTAGTACACATGTTCCCTATGATATGATCTTTCTAATTTAATGCCAAATTAGGGTTTTGACCCCAATTTTACTGTCCACTGAACATAGAAAATGATAGTGCCAGTGGGGCATCCGTGTACTATGGACACATTCTTGTTTCTTTTTATCATCTTCATGATGTCTTATACTGAAAGTAATTATTTACATAATGACAATTAAAAAAATTCAACAACAAATATACATAACACCTTTTTCCCAAAAGTAAATAACTGTTTGCATTTATTTGAAAGCCCTGTAAAAATCATGTAAATAATTGAAAAAAGATATCATTTTACTGACATATTTCAAGTTGAATTAAGGTCAAGTTACAGTAAATGGGCCATGTCACAGATTTTTCTAAAATTTTGCATACAACTTTGGCTTGTAAATCTATAACTGATAATCTTAAATAATGCATTTATTATCTGAAATATTACTGATTGAATTCTTTAAAAATAGATGAATAATTGTATAGAAAGCACATAAAATCGGCAAAAAACCTATTTAAATTTGACTTAAAATCATCAAATCTCCAATTTCTAATACATAGATTTTTCTTAAAGAACTATATGTTATAGATACATAAATTTCCATTTTGATAATGTTAATAATGATAGGGTCACTGACTTCGTTTTAAGGGTATACATCATTCAAAGTGGTGTTCTTTGTAAAAAAATACCACAAAACTTTGAATTAATCGTGACGTCATCGCATTCCAGGCTGTAAAACGTCAATTTTGGACGTTTTTCACTTACACTAGGTGACAGATTGATTATTAGATAAAAAACAAAGTCGGTGACCATATGATTATTTTATATCATTAAAACTGAAATGTATGTATAAACAACATATAGTTTTTTTTTAAGAAAAACCTATGTATTAGAAATTGGAGATTATATGGTTTTATGACAAATTCATATAGGGTTTTCAACGATCTTATGTGCTTTCTATACAAAATGTGAAAAGAGGGAGAAGGATTTTTTTCCAACACAGTAGAACCTCCCTGTCAAGAGACAGTTCTTAAGGGGAAAATTTCTAAATTTTGGAGAACATTACTGGGAGGTACTGCTGAAATCTAGAGATTTGATACCAATGATTTTTTATTAAATCATAATCTGTGATTCATCATTTAAACCATTATATTATACAATTGCAGGCTTTATCAGGAGAATGTGGCTTCATGGCTGCTAATTTGTATGCCAAGTCAATTTTTGGAGAAGATGTCCTAGCTAATTTGAGTATAGAGAAACCAGTCCATCTACCACCAACTGCACCTGTCCAGGGACATATCAGGATCAGAGCTAAAAGTCAGGTAGGTACCAGGGTAGTTTAACCAGTCCGGAACATATATTGTGTATAAATCTAACATAAGGACCAAAGCTAAAGTCAAGTTGATATCAATATTCAGTTTACAGTGAATGTTTAGGATTAGGGCTTCTTATTAGCCAAGTTAAATCAAGGTCTTAATTATTTTTGGCCTGGGAAGTGTGCCTCATGCTGTCACAGTAGACTTTGGCCAATTTTCTAAAGTTGTTTATATAACCTCCACTCAAATTTATCCCTAGTTTTCTGCTATTGTTTGGGTTTACTTTAAACAATTCTTATAAGCTTGATACAATACTTTGAAAAAACTAAATACATCTGTATAGGTATAATATTGATCGTAGCACATTGTTTTTTTTGTTTAATAAGATATTGGGTGAATGATTGATATATTTTAGTGTGTTATCAAGCCTGATAAAAGCCACATGTATATTAATACTTATAAACTCCTATAAACTTGTAGCAATGACAACTTATAAGTGGAAAATATTTTATTAGTAATGTCATATTGACCAATTTACATGACAATTGACAATTAGTATGGCATTAATATGGATAAAGATCAACTGATTTTATGTACCAATGAAAATGTTGCAAACTCAATATTCTGAATTGTATGTCTTTATGTTTCAGGGTATGGCATTAAGTATGGGTGACAAGATCAACCTGTCTCAGAAATCTGGAGCCAAAATGACTGCAGTAGCAAAATAAACAGAAATCTATAACTTATTGAACAGCCAGAATAATATATTTATATGACTTTAAAAATAGACTGTGTTAATTTGTATTCAAGGAAGAAAAATCATTTATATTTGAATAATGTTTTAATGCTTATTTGAAAGAATCATGTTTAAAAAAAAGATATTAAATTGCAAAAATCTTTGCTGAAGTCAGTAGAAATTTTCAGATTCTATTATATCTTCCAATATTGTAATGCTTACATGTTTATGTTGTGAATTTAGGAAACTTTTGTCACTTTATTCAAATAAACTATTATCAAGTTATCATTTCCATTTTCTTACACTTTCAGCAAGATAATTTTGACTGCTTTTGATATTGTCGCCATCAATGGAACTTATTTTGGTATACCATGGTCTGCCTTCCATTCACCCTTTGCATGATTAAAGTTGTTTCAAATGTTTTTCATGAGATTTTAGCACAAAATAAAATATGATGAAATAAATATCCCATGTGATTGTGATAATTGTCAAAGTTGTTATTATGGATTTTTTTTTAACTTTAATCATTAAAAGGAAGGAATGAAATTCTTTGATCAAGAGACAATGCTATTTGGAAATCTGCGCCGCTTGACCCACGAATCTGCGCCTCTTGAACTATTGACGTCATACAACAATCACTTTTCCATTGTGGCGTCAGATATTTTCTATAGTGACGTCAGACTTTTACGGGAAACTTTGTGATGTCTAATAATGGAGGACAAATAGCAATAATTGTATGTTTGTTCTTTTAATACAATTTATTATAAATATGTACAATGATGGTACATTTAGATTCAGGAATAACGAAATATTGTCCATTTTGTATTTTGAGAAGTTATCTTACAATTGTACATGGTTTCATGTATATTTATATGAGCAAAAAATAAAGTGATTAAATGTACTGATAATGTCCATATGGTGCGACTTTGTCCTGTATTGGATGTTAACTTGGGTGTTGTTAAATATTTTAAGATTGGACCCGAAAATGCACATTTATACCCTGCTGTTGCGTAATAATTCTAAGATTGGACCTGAAAATACACATTTATACCCTGCTGTTGTGTAAATATTCTTAGATTGCACCTGAAAATGTACATTTACGAATGCTTAATTGCAAGAATTGATATATTTAATTGGTTAACCTGTGTTCTATCATTTGATTAAGAATTTTGAGTACAGGATCCAATGTTTTCTGAGAGAGATGATGATATGTTTTTCTTCCTGCTTTAAAAATATATGGGAATCCATTTTGACCACCTTTCTGACTGAGTAAGACATTCATGGGTAGTCGAGGTCGTTTAAACACCCCCTAGTAGTAGTTTTTACCATCTACAAAGATTCTGGGTGTTCCTAACCTACAAATGAAAATAACTCTGTATTTATTACCAGTAAGCAATGCAAATAGTTGAATGCCATCATGTATACTGGTAATCAAGCAAGGTAAGAAGCAGTGTAGTTAACTGTAAGTCTCGCATATATCAGGATTCATTATCCCCTGCTGTTCTGAAATAGAGTAAAATTGTCCCTCCATCCATAATACTTTGTGAACACATCTCATATCTTTGACCCAAAAGTTTTTAATTTAGAAGGATTGCTTGTTTTCATGTTTCTTGAATATGCATGAAATATTTGCCACTGGACGTTAAGCAACCAACAATCAATCAATCAATCATGTTTCTTGACCATTCTGTACAACAGTGGCCATACAAAATCACAGGCAGGTTGTTTCGGTAGCCTTTTATGTAAATTATATAGTAATTCTTGGAAATATATAGCTTTATTGTAAATAAATGAAAGCAAATAGCAGCTGATCCAGAGGTTGTACATTTATAATTCTTCCCTAATAAACTTGTCTTTTTTTACTATGGATTATTTATATAGGCTAAGAGAACTCAGAAAAATCTGTGATCTGTATACCGAAATAGACCAACCATGTCCATTTTATCCTTATAGAATTACAATTATCCTTCAGCAATAAGTACACACAGTGAAGAATGTTGGAAGCTTCCCTTAGATTTTGACATTTACTTGAATTATTGGTTGGAGTTACTTGACTTTAATTATTATTATACACTTTAACACTTCATACTGGCCTCGAACCTTCTTTTTTTGGGGGGAACAGATGGAATCATACACCATGCGCAAATTATGTATTTTGGATAAAAATAGTTTTCTTTTGACAACTTTGGTTATACATATACACATTGTTTAACTTAGAAATCTTAAGTATATATTATCAATTGCTTGACATGGGCATGGATATGATCTAACAAATGTTCACCTCACTGCAATATCTCTAGGTTAGAGATGATGCTTGGAAGATATAGCTATTAAGCCAGTGATATAATGGCTTTGATTGCATTTCATGCAATCTTCACGCCAAAAACCTATTTTGCAAATATAAAAAAAAAAGAGTAAATGTATCCTGAGAACAACTAAAGACTTAATTCTACGAGCTACCTAGGTGTACTTTTCTAGTGGCGGTCAAAAGTCATTTCCAACAGGGACTTTCTATACTAGTATAGTTTAGTATAGAAAGTTCCTGTTTCCAAGTTGTGAACCAGCACTCATCTTCTTTTAGGAAACATGATATGATCATGAAGATACATACTTGAAGCACATAAAGGTAACTTGCATTTATCTTCTGTTTCAAAAAACTTGCCTCTCAGAAACAGCTGTACAAATGGAACAACGCATAGCATGAATGGTTCATAACTGGACCTCTCCAGAATTTGTGTCCTTCTTTCCGGTCTAAAACCAATGACTGTCAGGGCCAATAATGGGTTTAAAATAGTTGAAATGAGACCTTTCCTTTATGTGACTTTTTCAGAGATATTTGTCTTTTTGTATTACTTAACGGTTCTTCAAAGCTTATAATGTTTATAGCTGGCTTTAATTTGTTCTCATTTCCTCAGAATTTGAACATAATATTTATTAACTGGTCTCTCATACGATACAATAACACTAAATGCTCCCTAGCTCATGTCATGCACACCAGTCTAATAAACTTTAACAATTACTGGTAACTCTTTTAAACGGTTCTTCTTAGTTATATTGTTGTTTGTTCAAATCCGAAGATTTCTTTCTATATGCTACTATTGTTGGTCTTTTATTTTGTCATAATTTGTGTTAGTTACCTTTATGTGCTTTAAGTACGTCTTCTAAAGTATAACCACCAAAGAACGCACAACTAATTTCTCAGTCATACGCAAATCAACCAATTAGTCGTTAGCTGCCATGTTTGGCAAATTTGCCAACCTTTCAAATAAAAACACCAGTCTTGAATGCGACCTACCGAATAAGACTTATCAGCGGTTTTGTACTTACATGAGCAACACGACGGATGCAACATGTAGATCAGGATCTGCTTACCCGTCCTGAGCACCTGATATTCCCCTGTTTTTGATGTGGTTCGTGTTGCTCAATCTTTACTTTTCTGTGTTTTGTTTTGTGTACTGTTTTGTGTCTATTGGTGGTTTTTCGTTTTTTGCAATGAAATTGTCAGTTTGCTTTCGACTTTTGAATATCCCTTTGGTATCTATCGCCTCTCTTTTTCTTGACCCTTTAAAAGTTTCTTTGCAAATAATTTGAGACGAATAATAGGAATAAAATCGCTGTTCCTTTGCTTTGTGTTTTGTCAATTGCTAGTAGGGATTTTGTGTCATGAATTAATAGGTATTACATCATACATGTATGCCTTCTTTTCCATACAAACTAAATACGCTAGTAATGACAATAGAGGAATTAAATCTAATTACTGCCTCTTACGGTTTGCTTCAGATAAAAAAATATAACTTCTTCATAAAGACAAATTAAAAAAACTTAAGTCAATACAAACTAATAAACTATATTGAATGAACATATTTTCGGGTACATGGAATTATTAAATTGTCGTACTTTGAATTTTTCCTTCACATTTATTTTAGTTTTCCAACAAAAACACATTTTGAATGAAGTTATGTTCAAATCCCTGGATGGATACATACAACTGTGTGTCGTAATTTTCAACATGCAATTGATATACATAATTTAAAAAAATCACATAGATGTCAACCATTCTGATATGAGTGGTATAATTCTTATATTCTACCAAAATTAGAAAATTGTCTTCCAATGAACTACTGCATACTTGGAGGACACAAACAGAAAAGACCCCCCCCCCCCCCCCTAATTACACTATTAATCCCCTGTAAACATGGCAAAATAATGTATTTTAAACTTTTTATTTGTTTTTAAATTTAGAGACCCAAGCTTCTTGAACAATTTATATGGACTTAAATTCATTTTTGTGTATTATAGTATATGAAGTACTATGATATTTCATGTCAAACCATTAGTTCAACTTGTTACCAAACTTTATGCAAAGCACTAATGTTAATCCCAGAATGATTAACACGTAAGTACAAAAACAGGCCCACGTTTGCCTTACTTCAAACTGTAAGTAACAATTAATCGTCCATCATTGTTCACAATCATTATAGACTTGGTAGAATTACAGGAACAGATAGAGCGCGGAAGATTTATTCCATCGTCTTTATTCAATACAACGCAGCTGTGTTCTCCTTTACTGTCAATTCTGTGTAATGTATTTGACAGGAAACCTGTAGTATAAATGTCCCCTGCATTGAAAACAGAGATTCCATTGAGATATTCTAGTCCTGGTGGTGAAATTTCAAACAGTTTTACTCCGCGTATGTCTATGCAATAAATATTGTTACAGTGCAAGGTTCCTCCTACAACTGTTCCGTCTGATCTTCCACACAGAATATGTTTTCCAGTTATGTCGGGAATAATATTTTCAACTTCAAAATCAGAATTTAATACTAACAAACCCTTGAGTTTACCGTTTAGAATAAGACGATGTCCTGTTTGTGCGATCCCATGACATTCGTCATCTAGTTTTATTTGTCTATGAACCTTTCGTTCTTTTAAATCTAGAATTACAAGTTTTCTTTCATTGGCCAAGGTCATGGCAATCAAATCATCTGGCAAAGTAGCAAGGTATAAAGGATTATGGGAAAGTTCCATTTCTACTTTTTCTAAACCGTTTTGATCGTAAACTACTAATTTACGATTGTTTAAATTAGTGACAACGATATCTCCACTTTGCAAAAGTTTAATGTCTGAAGAGGAATGAAAATCTGTATCGTTGGAAATACTAAATTCGCCAACCTTTTGCAGACTTTGGTCTTTTTCTTGGACATGGTTTGCTTTGTCTGTTTTGGGGAAAGCGGTACTAGGTTCTGACTCTTGTGCAGTGGTTGTACGTTTCACTTGAGTGTATGCAAGTTTAAGTCCTTTCAAAAAGTCTTGAAAATCGTTGGATATGCTGAACTTCAAAGTTACATTTTCAAACTTTCTTTCTATCTTAGATGCATGTTTTTCAATAACCTTGAAAGAATTGTTAATCTTTGACAAGTAAACGTACGACTGTAAACTCGATTCTTTTCTGGCCATTTCCTCGACATTTTTTACCCATTCAGATAAACTATCCCTTTTACGCAATACACCAACTTCTCTTTGTTTTAGTACCTCCGTTTCCTGATTGTACAGGTCATGGAAATGCTCCCTAACTTTATTTTCAGCTTCGTCAATGTATGCATCGATTTGCTTTCTAAACTGCTGTAAATCAATTTCAAATTTGTCCTTCTGCTTCAATAGATGTTTCCTACTTTTATAGAAGTCTTTATACAATTCATCTAAAAGAGTGTTAGTTTTATTCATACGTTTCAGAATATCGGCCATTTTGATACCGATATCTTTTTCGTTTGTGTAAGGGTCCATAACTTGCATGTTACATGTAGGCTTGTGTGAAACTCGCTTGCACTCCGAACAACAGGGAACATCATGATCAGTACAGTAGAATAAATACACTTGTTCACGGTGTATGCGGCAACTGAAGTCCATGATGGGTATTGAACCTTAAACAGAAAGAAATTTATGACTTTTTATTAAGAATGTCATGTAATCTCTTACATGATGGTTTCGTTAACGGAGTAATTGACGAATCAGTACATGCATATGTAAATATGATTTTACTAAATTAAAGAATTCCTTATTTATAAAAGCATTTGCCAAGTGAACAACATAAGAGCCGCTTGTCCTACTGTTCCATCCATTGTCATCATAAGGTTTCTTTTTTAAATTGAAAATAGACTCGAACTCTGACTCTTTAGGTCACTTTGCGCTAGTCGTTTCTTTTTTCTTCATTATCACTTTGAAATAGGGACGTTTTTATCCATTTTGACAATAGATACCATAAGAAACCTACACGAGGTTCATTGTTTTAGTGAATATAAAATTGTATTATACTCACCTCAGAATTTCTATCAACTGAATAAGACTGAAATTTCAAGGGATATTCCAAAAATATTTTGAATGTTGAAAACTGTAAAAGTTTCCATTTTCCTATTGTTAAAAACAATTCAGATCATATATGTGACTTAAAAAAAAAATTTAGTGTATATTTCATGCAACATTGTAAATTAGAACATGCGAACATAATGCCTTTTGTTAAAACGATCTTGGTGAATGAAAATGACAGTTAGACAATACAGGATTTAAATGAACACTTTGTAAATAATATCTTTTTTTATGAAATAGATATTTGAACTTTTATCGTGTTCAGTAGGACGCACGTTGTTTTTTTCCGGAATAACCTTTGACTCGGGTAGTTGTACCGGCGTAGTTTTAGTATAATTACATACTTTAGTTTATTTACCCAATATGTATCATTTTATTATGCCAGCACGATTTCTCTGGCGGACCATTTGGTAAATAGATTCATAGGCAAACCTTTCTCGACTTCTTTACAGTACTATTTCTTATTATTTATTCCCAAAATAAATCGTAAACGTATACCAAGCCTCTCTTTTATAAGCATGTTTAAATAATATACCAAGGGTCTGTTGTTCAACTTGTCGTTAGTCTTGTCCTCGGTCGAGGAAAAAAAAACACAATTTGTTGATAACTGCACCAATTGTCATAACACAGCAATATAGATATTAAAAAGCTTGATTTGCCCACTCATTTTCGACAACATATTTCAAGAACTCGGTTAATTGATCTTCAGGCATACATGAATGGAAGGAAATGTGGTGTATTCGTTAATGAGGAAAAAAAAAGAAAAAGAAAAAAAAAAACTTAACAAAACAAAGCATTTTTTTAAATGTCATTAGCATCACACCAAGTGTAACAAGTGGAGCAACAACTGTTAACCCTTCCATCATATCAGGTGAGTTGACTCCCGGTTATTGGTGGTGCTCATGTTGCTCAATGTTAAGTTTTCTATATAATGTTTGTAGACACTGTTGTTTGTCTCTGTGGCAATGGTATTGTCAGTCTTTCTTCGACTTAAGCTTTTAGACTACCCTCTTGGTATTCTTTCTATCTTTTTAAAACTTCTTAACCTATTAATGTGACCTGTCTAACGTCTGGGTTGTATTTAGTGTATCATGACTTTCTTTTGTCCTTGAAAGATGGTATTTTGAATGGATGTACTTGAGAAAGATAATACTATACTGTTGTACAAAAATCGTAGTACGCATTTGTTGGCTAAAATGTTTCCATAGATCTTTAACTATTAGCTCCAAAACAACAACCAATGTCAAAACAACATCATATAAACTACGATAAACCCAAAAGTCTGGAGAATGCTGACAATTCATTCTTAAAATGAAGAGTATGCGAGTTTTGGGGTTCTTTTTTTTATATTTTTGGATGAATACTCAAATCTTGACAATTTCAGTTTTTAGTCATCTATGTTATTATGTCGACAAGGATGCTTTTAAATACCCATAAATGCTTAAATATGATTTTGAAATAAATTCAGATTGTTGTCGTCCCATCGATATCTTCCGCCTCTTTTTTTAAAAGCACTGATGTTAATCCATCATACATTCCTGAGATATTGTATCTTATATAGTAACACATATTTCCTGTTCAACCATGACATTTTTTTAGCTATTTGTGCAAGTTTTTTTAAATTACTTTATCAATACATCTTTTAGATTTTTTTCTCACTAAAATTTAATGGATTTGCATTTGATCAAAACCTGGATTTTTTTTCGAATTTTTAAAGTCTTGTTAAAAAAAAAGCAATTTGACGAAAAGGTAAAATGAACATTTAGATATAGAAAAAACTCCAAAATATCTACAGTGTTTTCCTTCTTTGACACGGGTTTGCTTGGTATCTCTTCGCCTGTTTTCCCAGTATTCACTAAGGTTCCAATGATTCTGATGCATTCTTGGAAGAAATATTTTTTGCATGATGCTGCTATAAAAAAAAACCTATATGAAAATACATCAAATCGAAGTTCAAAATTGAAAAAAAAGATATGATTTGTTTTTAATCCTTTTTGTCTATTAGTAGTTTTTTTTATCTGTTTTTGTCAATTATTCTTTGACTAAAGATTTCTGATTGTCCCATTGATATCTTTCGCTTCTTTTCTTACAAACACTTATGATATCTCATCATACATTCCTGAGATAATGTATCTTATATAGTAACACCTGTTCAACCATGACATTTTAGTAGGCAATTGTGCTTTAAAAGTTACTTTATCAATACAGCAATTAGGAAATTTTATTCTAAAATTAAATGGATTCGCATTTTATGAAAACCGAGAAGTCTTTTCGATTTCTGAAAATCTTGTTAAAAAAGAAGAAATGTAAAAAACACAAAAGTAGAAAAATCAGTTTGACGAAACGTGTAAATTGACCATCTAGAATGCAAAAAGTTCAAAATATTTAAAGATGTGATATTTGTCTGTTTTTTCTTTTGGCCTAGGTGTTGTCTTTCATGGAGATATGACTTAATTTTGATTACCCCTTGATATCTCATCGCCTCTTTTCCCAGTGTTTTCTAAGTTTCCTATGATTCTGATGTGAAATAAACTGAGGGCAAATTGCCTCTACCTTTGATATCAGTCATATAAATTGTATGCCTCCACATTTTCTCAAAACTTCACTTATTACATAATGAATTTTAGGAAGAAATTTTTTTTGCATGATGCTGGTGAGAAAAAAAAACTATGTTTTGGCCTGTACGACAAAACATCACATTGCATTAAATCCAAGTTCAAAATTGAAAAAGGACATGGTTTGTGTTTAATCCTTTTAGTTAAGAAAATCGAGATTTTTGTTTCACTCAGTGACTTACCGTAACTTATATAAAGTATTAAAAGTGTTCTATGCAGTGTTTTGTAGACTGCTTTTTGTCTTTTCGACGTTTTTCGTTTTTTTTACCTTTTTGTCGATTCTTCTTCAAGTTCTGATTTTTTTATTGTCCCATTTGTATCTTCCGCTTTTTTAAAAGCACTTATGGTATTCCATCAAACATTCCCGAGATAAGGTATCTTATATAGTAACACATATTTCATATTCAACCTTGACATTTTAGTAGCTTTTTGTTTACTTTATCAATACATCTTTTAGGGGATTTTTTTTTCTAAAATTAAATGGATTTGAATTTTATAAAAACCGGAAAGTCTATTCGATTTCTGAAAATCTAGTTAAAAAAGATTAAATATTAACAGAGAAAAAGCAGTTTGACGAAATGTGTAAAATGACCATCTAGATATAAAAATGTCCAAAATATTTAAATATCATCCACGGTAGATATAACAATTGGGATGGTCTGGAATGTTTATAAAAAATGAAGTTTATAAACAATTACTGAGAGAATGAAAATCGGAGTTTACGGAAAATCATTTCAGAACCGAAAGTGAAACTAACAAAATTCCCAATATTTGGCATTCTTTACTCAATCGAGAAAGCTTCATTTTTTATAAACATTCCAGACCATCCCAATTGTTAATCGGTCAGGCATTGGAGTTGGATCTTGAGAAATCTAAAATCGTAAGTTTGAGCGTTGCAAGCATTTTTTTTTTAAAGATTTAACTTGTAGTTACCTTGACAATGGTTATTAGTGCATGTACGTACAATGTACTTGTAAAAATATTATTGTAAGACAAATTATTTCTTTGCTTCTTTTTTTGTCCTATGTGTTTTCTTTCATAGACATATGGGTTTTGATCGCCACTTGGCATCTCCTCGCCTCTTATTCCATTGTTATCTATGTTTCAAAATGTTATACTTTTCACCGAATACAAAATAAAAGTTCTTTTATATAAGGAGTTTACGGAAAATCATTTTATACACAAAAATGAAACTTAAAACCTTAACAAAACATGACATTTGAACTCATTTGATAAAGCTTTATCTTGATAAACACCATCCACTACATACCATTGTTAACCAGTCAGGCATTGGAGTTGGATCTAGTGAAATCTAAAACCGTAAGTTTAATCGTTGCTTGCATTTTATTTAAAGATTTTTTAACCTGTATTTACCGTGACAATGGTTGTTAGTACATGTACTTGTTAAAATATCATTGCAAAATAGTTTATTTCTTAAACTGTTTTATTTAACCTGAAAGGATTAGAGAAAAGACAGATTTCGTTTACATCTAACTGTGCCAACAGCGAAGCTTTTGGCTTTTGATATCTTTTGGCGTCCGTCCGTCCGTCCGTCGTTGAACACTTTTCAGAAATCTCCCCAGAAACGACTAGGCAATACATTTTAGAAAAAGTTCAACCTGCATTATTCTGAAAATAATCGACTTTCTGCTTTTTGGTATTCTATATTTAGGCAATTTTTGTTTTTTTATTTCTATTGTTTACAGTGATATATGTGACGCCAAAGTGCTAACTAAAAAAAGCTAACTAGTCCAGAGAAGATCGTCATTTATATAATAAACATGTATAAATGAAAGGGAAATTAAATGGTTTACCTCTAAATAGTTATCGTAAAGAATTTTTTTTATAACTTCTACTTCATATGAGCACAAGAACAAGACAAGTCAGCTCAAGTGACGCACAAGTAAGTACCCACTAAGATCCCGATTGTCTGTTGAATATTCATCAACGTCAAAAATGAAACGTTTTTAATTCTAATATTAATAGGACGCCCTTCAAGCGCTTTTGCTACATACGAATACAAATATATTGTATATATTGTACTGCAATCCATTTATATGATCACACAATAAAAACAATTTTATTATATTGTAGTGAAATCTGGGGTACCTTTAAGATTAACTCTGCTGCTTGCAAGAAAAAAAGTGATTATCTATTTGAATTAATTTACATAAATGATTATTTGGAAAAATCACATTTCAGGTATCTAAAATATATTCTTGGTGTAAATAAAAAAGACTCAAATTTGGCAGTGGTATCAGAGGTTGCAAGATTTCCTCTTTATTTTTCTGTCATTATATCTATGGTAAAATATGTACACAGGCTTAACAAATTGGACGATGGGTTACTTTATGATGCTTATGTTTGTAATAAAATTTTAGATGCAGGAAACATTAATTGTTGGTATTCATCTATGAGATATGTCCTTCAATCACTTGATATACAAAATTTGAATACAAAGCTCAATAAATTAATTAAATTTGTAAAATGTAAACTTTGTAACAGTTTTAAAACATTTTGGGGGGTCAAAAGATCTGATACCTTATCACAAGGTAATAGTAAATTAGAAAATTATTTCAACCTCAAGACTGACTTCGTAAAGGAGGCTTATTTATCAATTAAAGATTTTAATATAAGAAGAGCTATATGTAAATTGAGAATAAGTGCACATGATCTTAAAATTGAGAAAGATAGATATAGTAAAAAATACATAGAGAGAAGTCAGCGTCTATGTCATCACTGCCTATCACATGAATCAAATTCTATTGAAGATGAGACCCATTTCACAGTAAGTTGTCCTTTATATAACGAACAGAGAAAATTATTACGGGATAAAGTAAACAGTTTTTGTAATAATTTTAAAGAATTACCCAAGGATAAAAAAATATTTCTGGCTGTTCACAAATGAGCATTTACCAACTCTTATGTGCCTAGGCAATTATATAATTAAGTGTTTAGAAATAAGATCCAGGTGGATACAAAATATATAAAATAATATTTAATTATTATGAAATTATTGTTATAGTTATGTAAGACACATGATGTTTTAGGCTCTGATCCTGTCCATAATATGATAGTATTATATTAGGATCTAGTTTTTCTTTTTTCCAATCATATTGTGCTTAATATTGTTGTTAATGATGCCCTTTATGGGTTCTTGATTAGATAAATAAAATTCTTATCTGATCTTATCTTATTGTATGTCTGCTGATCGGCAACATCATAATTTGCTTTGCCCGTTCCCATTTCTCCAATGTCGTAGGCAGTTATAAATAAACACGGACACATATAAACACACGATAATATGTATTTGTTGACAGCACGTTTTCTAAAATAAACATCAGATTTATTTTTATCAAAATATGTTCAGAAGATAAGTTGTGACTTATTAACACGAAAATTTTGGAAAATGCTGGCGGTACCATTGAGTGTTACTCATTGCAAGTAAAAATAAATGAACGTGTAAAGCAAAATATTTTCCTATGAAATGTCCCAATATTTCATGACTTTGTATCATGGAATTTTGTCCCTATCTATGAAATAATGTCCAGGGAAGGACACATTTCCATATGAAATTTTGTCCATATACAGACAATATTTCATAGATGAATAGTATGACATTTGTCTTGTTAATGGGTAGTTAGTTATCCAAGGTTATATATTGTGTATATTGAGACAATATTTCATAGATGGATTGTCATAAAATTTTGTCTCATGGAAGGGAGGTTATAAACGTTTAATATTTTGGACAATGATATCATTAAAGTGTTTTATTTGATTGATGATAAAAAACAAACCTGCATAATTAGTTTATGCAGAAATTTACGGTTTATATACACATACTTTCCATGAAAAATATTTTTAAAAAAATCCAGAAACGCTCACAATTTTAAGGCAGAGGATTCCCCAGGGGAAGATATAATTAGATTAAGGAATATTTTCATGGACAGCATTTCACAGTGAAGTATTGTTATGGACAGTATTTCATAATGAAATATTGTCCGGAAGGAGGTGACAAAAATTCATGGACAAGGACACTATTTCATAATGAAATATTTTCCTGGACAGTATTTCATTATGAAATAATGTCCAAGGACATTATTTTATATGAAATTTTGTCCGACTGACAATTTTGAGTGGGGGACATTGTTTTAT